CGACGCGCTCACGTCGGAGAAGGCGGCGTTCGAGCTCCAGCGCTTCGTCGTCCGCGACAGCGCGCGGGACCTCAACGCGCTGGCGACGTCCGCCCAGTCCCAGGCGCCGGCGCCGACCATGCCCGCGCAGATCGCCGAGGAGCCCGCCGTCGCCGAGGCCGCCGCGGAGCCCCGCGAGCCGCCGAGCGACGACGAGTCGCTGGAGCTCGGCCCCGTGACGTTCCGCACCTTCGAGCGCCTGAGCGCGCCGACGAAGCCCGCCGAGAAGGTCAGGCCCGCCGACGTGTCGGAACCGGCGGCGGACGACGACGACGACGAGGACCTCGGGCCCGTGACGTTCGGCTGCTTCTCGAAGATCCACACGTCGGAGACGTTCCGCGCGAACAAGGCGTCGCAGGAGCGCATCGCCGCGGAGCTCGTGGCGCAGCGGGACGCGCGCGCGAGGGCGGACGAGCTCGCGGCGCATTTCGGCGACTGGGAGGACAGCGACGGCGACGGGGAGGACGCGGAGCCCGTGCGCTTCGAGCACTTCCGGCGGCTGTCCGCGCGGGCGCGCGCGTCCATGGACGCCAAGGCCGCGGCGCTGGCCCGCGAGGCCGCGGAGGCCGAGGAGCGGCGGAAGCGCGACGCGGCGCTCGCCGCGCACTTCGGGGACTGGGAGGACTCGGACGACGAGTCGTCCCTCGCCGAGCCCGTGACCTTCGCGACGTTCCAGTCGCTGTCGACGCGGGAGCTGGTCGGCACGAGCGACGTGTCGAAGCCCGCGGCGGACGCGTGCCGCGTGTCGCTGCTGCTCGCGCGGCGCGCGGCGGACCGCGCCGACGAGGAGACCGCCGCGCGCGACGCGAGCCGGCGGCTCTCCGTGGCGGCGGCCGAGGCCGCGCGCGTCGCCGACTTCCTGCGCCTGAAGCAGGAGCGCGACGAGGACCTGGACCGCGTCGCGGCGAACGAGGCGGCCCTCGACGCGAAGCGCGCGCTCCGCGCGGCGCCGGCGGCGCCGCCGGACGCGCGGGGGTCCATGGTCGCCCAGGCGCCGGCGATCAACGACCTCGACGACGGCTGGCGGCGCTCCGACGCCGGCGACGACGACGACGGCGCGCCCTACGACGACGCGCGCGCGTCCATGGTCACGCAGGGGCGGCGCATGTCCGCCGCGGCCCTGGCGTCGCTCCAGCTCGCCGAGCGCTTCGCCAAGGAGGCCGCGGACGAGGAGGCGCGCGCGTCGAAGGTGCGCCGCGCGTCGCAGGCCGCGGAGCAGGCCGAGGCCCTGGCGCGGCTGCGGGCCGAGCGGGCCGCCGCGGCGGCGCGCGAGGCCGCGGCGGCGGCGGCGGCCGCGGACCCGACGAACCGCCGCATCTCGCGCGCCGCGGCCGAGGCCGCGCGCGTCGCCGAGCTCGTCCACCGGCGCCGGGAGGAGGTCGAGAGCGCCAAGGCCGCGGCCGCCGAGGCCGCGCGCGTCTTCGAGATGTTGGACCGGGCCGCGGAGGACGACGAGCGGCGGCGCGCCGAGGAGTCGCGGCGCGCCGCGGACGCGCTGTCGACGCGGCTCGGGTCGCCCGCGCCGAAGCCGCCGGGCAAGAAGAAGTCGCCGGCGACGGAGAAGAAGTCGCGCTGGGGCGGCCAGCCCGTCGAGGCCGCGGGCCCCGCCAAGTCGAAGCGGGTGTTGGCCGCGGAGAAGGGCAAGCGCGACCGCGAGCGCGCGCGCGAGCTGAAGCGCGTCGCGATCGCGAAACGGAAGGCGGACCACCTCGCGGCCGCGAAGCGCCGCGAGGACATGGCGCGGCGCGCGGAGCGGGACCGCCAGGCCGCCGCGGAGCTCGCGGCGAAGAAGAAGGCGGAGATCGTCGAGAAGGAGCGCGCCAAGGCGGCCGCGGCGAAGAAGAAGGCGGACGACCAGCGCGCGGCGGCGCGCGCGGCGGCCGAGGCGGAGAGCGCGCGCGTCTTTTCCGCGGCCATCGTCGCCAAGGCCTTCGCCGCCGCCGCCGCGGACCGCGTCACGCTGCTGGAGGCGTCGCCCGAGGCCGCGCTGGACCGCGAGCGGCGCCGGTGGCGCGAGGCGCGCGCGCACGCGGCCGACGGCGCGGTCGCGGCGGCCCACCGCGCGGCGCGGGCCGCCGCGGCCGCGCTCGAGGCCGTCGCCGCGCGGCGCGTGCCGCTGTTGGACGGCGACTTCGACCTCCTCGACGGGTTCCCGGGGGCGGGCGGCGCGGACGCGGCGCTGGCGGCGTTCGCCGAGGATTTGGGCGGCCCGGCCAAGGACTACGTGCTCCCGTCGATCACGAAGCACGGCGACCTCATGGTCGTCGGCGCGCGGCACCGGCCGCCGCGGGGGTTTCGCGTGCGCTGCGACAAGGACGCGGCGCTGGTCTACGCGTATTTGGACGCGGCGGCGCGCGACTACCCGCGGCCCGCGACGTACCGGCGGCCCAAGCCCAAGCCCGAGTGGGACGACAGCATGGTGCCGACGCCCATCGGCCGCTGGGACCCGGACCACGCGGGCGAGCTGAGCCCGAAGCGGTCGCCGCAGCGGCCGCCGCGCGCGCGGCCGAGCCGGTCCGCGACGCCGCGCGCCGCGAAGCAGGCGGCGGCGGCGGACCACGCCGCGGCGCCGGAGGAATTGGACGCGCGGCCCAAGTCCGCGAACCCGCGGGCGGCGTCGCAGCAGCCCCGCGCGCCGTCGCCGCGGAAGCCGCGGTCCGCGGGCGCCGCGCGGCCGCCGCCGGGCGGCGTCGGGTCCCCGAAGAAGCACCGGCCGCCCTGGGACGGCCGCTTCGTCGTCGACGACGCCGCCGCGGCCAAGTACGGCGTCGCCCACTTCACGCCCGAGCGGCCGGCCCGCGGCGGCCCGGGCGCCGACTCGCCGCGCGTCCGCAACGTGCACACGGCCCCGGCCAAGGCCGGCGCGCACTCCGCGGACCTCCTCGAGTCGTTCCCCTTCGCCGCGCCGCGGCCGCACCCGAGCATCCCGGCCGCGCCGCCCATGCCCGCGCCCTACTACGTGAGGACCTACCAGTAAGGAACCATTCGGCGTGCGGCCCGGTCCGTTACGTAGCAGCTACCGCTCGCTCGGCTTCACCCAGCGCTTCTTCGGCGCGGCCTCCGCGGGCGCGGCCTCCGCGGGCGCGGCCTCCGCGGGCTCGGCGACGAGCTCCGCGCCGCCGGTGGCGGCGCTCCCGTCGAGCATGGCGACGAACGCGTCGGCCTCGTCGCCGGTGATCAGGCGCGGCTTCTCCGGGTCGTCGTCCTCGTAGATGTTTTCGGGTACCGGCACCGAAGAGGCGGCCGTCGGGCGACGGAGGGCCGCCGCGGGCCGGGCGACCAGCGCCGTCGAGCCGTGCGCGAGCGCGCCGACGAAGCAGAGGAAGCGCCGCATTGTTGTGCGGCGTGTTAATGCAGCTTTGAAGTGCTGCGGATGGCGGATCGCGGCGAAATCAGCGGCGACGCGGAGATCCTCTGCTTCGTGGCGCCGAGCTCGCTGCGCTCGCCTGCGCAGGCGAGATGATGCAACACGGCTGCTCCATTGCCTGCTCCTCCGTTGGATGCAGTCGCGTTTTAGCGGGCAGCCCCCGAACCGCGCCTGGATGCGCGCGTACGCCTGCGCTGTCGCGGCGCTGCTCGCGTGCGCCGCGGCGGAGCGGCCGCAGACGGCCAAGGAGCGGTCGACGAAGGAGCGGACGAAGAGCATCACCGACCGGGAAAAGGCCCGCCACGGCCTCTACACGCAGGACGTCCAGCGCCACACCGCGTCCCACGGCGCGGACCGGAAGCACGCGCACCAGGTCAAGTTCGACGGCAAGGGCAAGCGGAACAAGTTCCAGCGGAAAGACCGGAAGCTGCGCGAGGACAAGAAGAACGCGGCGCACGACAGAAAGGCGCGGAAGCACCAGCGCGACCGGCGCTACCGCCTCGACCTGTGAGGTTAAACTGGCCGCCGTTAGACGCGCGGTTCGGGCGGGGCCGGTGCGCCCGGCGCGCCTACTTCGTCGCCCTGAACTCGGCGACGAGGTCGGCGACGACGCCGCGGACGGCGGGTCGGAGGCCCGCGGTCTCGGACTTGATGTGCGAGGTGATGAGCGCGGACGCGTCGTTGGGCGTGAGGGAGTCGACCTCGAGGGCGTACTCGAGGGCGTCGCCCTCGTCGATGACGTCGCCGGAGACGTCGGGGAAGGCGACGGAGCCCTTGGCCACGGAGCCCTTGTCGTCGAGCGCGAACTCCCAGTCGAGTTTGAACGACGCGTCGAAGACCCACTTCTTCTTCCCCCGGGCCTGGGCCGTCGACGCGTCGCCCTTGAAGTCGGAGAACTTCTTGACCGTGAGGAAGCAGGGCACGGACACGGCGCCGACTTGGCGGTCGGGGAGGTCGACCATGAAGTCCGCGAACTTGTCCTCGAGCCACGCCTTGGCCCACTTCGTGTGGTCCTTGGACTCGAAGGTGCCGGCCTGGTTCCAGGACGACTCGCCGGCCTTGGTGGCCATGGACACGGGCGCCTCGACCTTCTTCGGCGCGATGTCGCCGATCAGGGCCTTGGCCTCGTCGCTGAGCTCGTTGTTGAAGAACGTCGTCTTCCGGCCCTGGCTGTCGATCTTGTAGCCGCGCATGTCGGACTTGCCGCCGGCCGCCGGCGCGGCGCTCTTGGTCTTGTCGCCGATGGGCGCGGGCTTGACGAAGGCCTCGATCTTCGGCGCGACGTCGACCTTCTTCTTCGGCTTGAGCTTGAACTTCTCCTGCGCGGCCTTGCACTTTACGACGGACGCGGGCCAGACCTTGCTGTCGGGCTCGAGCTTCGCGCCGGCCTCGTAGGCCTTGAGCGCGCCGGCGAAGTCCTCCGTCTTCTCCTTGGCCTGGCCCAGGCGGTACCAGCCCTTGGCGTACGCGCCGTCGAGCTCCGTCGCCGTCGACGCGTCCTTCGCCGCGTCGTCGAACTTGCCCAGCGTGAGCCGCACGGCGCTCCGATTGCTGTAGAGGGGCGCGTCGGGCAGCGTCTCGATGGCCTTCGTGTAGAGCGCCTCGCAGACGGGCATGTCCTTGCGCGCGAAGGCCTTGCGCGCGCGGTCCTTGATCTCGGCGACGAGCGACGCCTTCGACTCGGGGTCCGACGGCTTCTGGCCGAGGACGTCCTGATGCGCGCCGCCAAACGGCGAGTTCATCATGGTGCCGGCGGCGAGTCTTCGAGGCTTGGATGCGCAGCGACGGATGTCGACTTCGACGGCGAAGCCGCTGATCAGACAGCTCGCGCCTCGGCGACCGCGATGTTGATGGACGACTCGTGACATGAGCCTCAGCGTAACGGTTGAGTTTCGGGGCTTCCGAGCAGTGGCCGCCCGAGCTTCTCCGCCAGACTCCCGCCGCGCACCACACCACCGACGGTGCAAGCGACGGATTTACTAGGCCCTCTTCGGGCTACAACTTGGGGTCGACGTCGCGCGAACGCGGGAGGGGGGTTGGACAGCTATGTGGGGGGAAATGGGGCGCGGACGACGCTGCGGGGGGTACAGCGGAGCGAGCAGAGCGCGCGCTCGGTGCCGCCTCGGTGTTCTACCAGAACTTCATGCTGTCGGGGATGAAGCCCGTCGTCGTGTCCTTGACGGCCGTGCCGCCCGGGACGGCGCCGACCGCCGAGTCGACGCCGCCCGCCACCTTGCCGAGGCCATCCTTGGCCATGCCCGAGCCCGGGACCATGTTGACGCCGTCGCTGAGCGCGCCCGTGCCCTTGCCGAGCGCGTCCTTCCCCATGCTCGCGCCCGGGACCATGTTGACGCCCTCGTTCAGCTTGCCCATGCCCTGGTCGACGCCGCCCGTGAGGCCGCCCGAGAGCTGGCCGACGCCGCCCTGGAGCTGGCCGACGCCGCCGCCGACCATGCCCGCGCCCGGGATGCCCATCGACGCGAGCTTGTCGCGTTCCTCCTTGAGCTTCAGCACGAGCGCCTTGAGGGCGTCCTTGTCGAGGGCGTCGAGGTCCTCGGGCACCTCCGTGAGGGGCTCGCCGCCGGGCATGCCCGGGATCTTGCCGTCCATGCCGGGGACGGACGTCGGGATGGTGCCGTCCGCGCCCGGGACGGCGGCGATGCCGCCCTTGACCTGGTCCATGCCAGGCACCTTTCCGACGCCGTCGCCGACGGCGCCCATGCCCTTGTTCATGTTGTCCTGGGCCATCTGGGCGCCCGGGATCATGTTGACGCCCTCGCCGAGCTTGCCCATACCCTGGTCGAGCCCACCGGACACGTGCTTCATGCCAGGCACATTGTCGTCGAGGGCGCCCGTCGTCTTGTCGACGAGGCCCGTGGCCGTGCTGAGGCCGGGCACGGAGCTGTTGACGGATTCCGGAATGAACTTGGACATAGTGTCAGCGGGCGACGACGAAAGGCGGAGCGGGCCGGGAGCGGATGAGTGGTGCGCAGAGGCAGCCCCGAGCTGTTCGCTAGATTTGGTTTTCAAGACTTAGTGCCAAAACCGCTTTTCGAGCTGATTGGCCCGACTCGGCAGCCCCAACTCGCGTTCGACGCGTTCGTCTCGTCAAGGCGAACGGCAGTTGGTCGGCCAAGCCCCCCGCGAACCACCATGAAGACGGTCGCCCGCCTCGTCCTCCTGCTCGTCGTCGGCGTCGCCGGGGCCCTGGACCTCGAGGCGCTCGTGGAGTCGCTCCTCGACAAGCTCAACGGCACCTCCGTGGGCCCCGTGATCGCGACCTGCCTCGGGGATTTAGGCGCCTTCGAGAGCCAGCTCAACGCGTCCGTGGCCGCCATCGAGGCCGGCTCCGCCACCCAGGCCCTCGACGGCCTGTACCTGTCGACGCGCGCGCTCGCGCGCGCCGTCGACGACTGCGACGTCCCCCTGGCCGTCGACTACCTGGAGAAGGGCGCCAACGCGCTGGGCTTCAACGCGACGGCCCACTACGCCGGCGAGGCGCTCACGACCCTCGTCTTCGGCCTCAACGTCACCGAGGACGTGCTCCGGATCCTCGACGACGCCGCGAACGGCGCCGGGTCGGACGCGGGCGCGGCGCTCGGTGATCTGATCCTCGCCCTCGAGGGGTCCTTCAGCTGCGACGGCAAGACGGGAACGGCGCTCGAGGCCTGCGTCCTCTTCGAGGGCCTGCTCGGCGGCGCGAAGATCTTCCTCCAGGACCAGGCCGCGTGCGAGGGCGTCCTCGAGGACGCCGTCGGCGACGTCGCCCGGGCGGTCTCGCGCCTCTCCGAGGGCGACGGCGCGGGCGTCTTCAATGCGACGGTGGCGGCGCTGGCGGACCTCGGGCGCGCCGCGGACGCCTGCGGCCTGCCGGACGTCGCCGCGCTGCTCCAGCAGGAGACGGGCGAGTTGAGGGCGGCGAACGTCACCGTCACCGACGCGCCGGGCGTCCTGCTCAACGTGACCGTCGAGGGCCTGGACGTGTCCGGCGACGTGGCCGCCATCGCGGCGGCCGCGGCCGCGGACGACTCCAAGGCCGCGGGCCTCGCCTGCGCGAAGCTCGCCCTGTCGTTGCGTTCCGCGGGCTGCGACTCCAAGGCCTGCGGCCTCTTCGAAGCCCTGCTCGACGCCTTCGCCATCGTCGGGTCCGACGCGTCCGGCGACTGCGCCGCGGACCTCGGCGACGCCGAGACCCTCTTCGTCCAGGGCGCGGCGGCGCTCACGGCGGGCGACGTCGAGGCGGGGCTCTTCGACTTTTCCGTGGCGCTGCGGGACGTCGGCGGCGCGGCGCGCGCGTGCCAGCTCGACGCGCTCGCGGATTTGATCGCCGCCGAGGCCGTGAAGCTCGGCGCCGCGAACGTCACGGCGGCGCCCGTCCACATCCTCGTCGACGGGCTCGACGTCGCGGACGCGGTCTACGACGCGGCCAAGGCGCTCGTCGCCGAGGACTGGGCCGCCGCGGGCGCCGCGCTCGGCGACCTGGTGGCGGCGCTCGACGCCTTCCACTGCGGCGACGACAAGGCGTGCCTCGTCGTCGAAAACTTGATCGCGGCGCTGGCGGTCGTCTCCGCGGACGTCGGCGGCGCGTGCGCGGCGGATCTCGAGACGACGTGGTCCGACCTCTCGGGCGCGCTGGCGAGCTTCGAGGGCGGCGACGCCGCGGCGGGCGTCGCGAACCTGAGCGTTTCGCTGACGTCGCTCGCGACGGCGCTGGGCAACGACTGCGGCCTCGAGCGCGTCGCGGCGCTCGTCGAATCCGAGGCCGCGGCGCTCGGCGCGGCGAACGTCACCGCGGCCGGGTCCGCCGTGGCCGTTTTGGTCAAGGGCGTCGACGTCGCGAGCGAGATCGCCGTCGTCGCCGCCGCGGCGTCGAAGGGCGACGCGGCGACGGCGGGCAAGGAGCTCGGGGCGCTGCTCGAGACGCTCGGCGTCGCGGCGTGCGACACGGCCGTCTGCGAGATCGTCAACGCCATCGTCAGCGTCTTCGAGGACGTCACGCAGGACGTCAGCGGCTGCAGCGGCGACTTCGGGGACGCGGCGGCGGACCTCGCGACCTTCGCCGCGGACCTCGGGGGCGGCGACGTCGAAGCGGCGCTCGCGCCGCTGAGCCGGTCCTTGAAGGACATGGGCGCGGGCCTGAAGGACTGCGGCGTGCCCGAGGTCGCGGACGCCCTGGGCCAGTGCGCGGACCAGCTCGGCCTGGCGTCCGTCGGCGCCGACGCGGCGCTCGTCGCGTCGGTGCTCGTCGCCGGCGAGGACGTGCTCGACGAGTTCGGCGACGCGGGCCTCGCGCTGTCCAACGGGTCCTACGCGACGGCGGGCGCGAGTCTGGCGCGGGGGTTGAAGGACATCCTCGCGTGGAACGCGACGAACGGCTGCGCCAGCGCGGCGTGCCTTTTGCTCGAGGGCGCGATGGCCGCGCTCGGCGCGCTCGAGGGCGACTTCGCGGCCTGCGAGGCGGACCTGGACGCGGCGTGGACGGCGCTGGACGCCGGCTTCGAGTCCCTGGCGACGCACGCGGCCTTCAGCGACGCGTCGAACGGGGTGCTGAAGAACGACACGGTCCTCTGGAACCAGCCTGCCCAAGTCGCGGGCGCGCCGTCGGACCTGCTCTCGCGGAAGAACTGCGAGGTCTTCAAGGATCAGGCCGCCTGCGACATCGCGGCGAAGAACCTGCGGCACCAGCGCCTCTACGCGGAGCTCTACCGCCGGCGCCACGGGAATGCGACGGCGGAGCTCTCGTCGTGGTGGCCGTCGTGGGACGACATCACGGAGGACTTCGACCAGCTGGTGGCCCACGTCGAGGAGGACGTCGACCGCGTCTGGAGCGACCTCGTCGACGACCTCGAGTACCTCGTCGGCGACGACGTCGCCATGGCGGCGATCAAGGACGTCGCGGCGGCGCTCTCCGCGCTGTCTTCCGCGATCACGGATTGCCACGCGGAGGAGATCGCCCAAGTCCTCTCGAAGCTCGCGGCGATCTTGGGCGCGCCCGCGGGCATTGGTTGGCTCGACGAGGGCTTCAAGATCGTCGTCGACGCCGCGGAGGTGAGCAACGACGTCTACGACGCGCTCCTCTTCGTCAAGCAGGACGACTACTTCATGGCGGGCTACGAGATCGCCAAGCTCGCGGTCGTCCTCGTCGCCTAGGTTTTAGTAACAAAAGACCATGCGCGCTAGATCGGCGACGACCTTGCGGGGCGTGAGGCCCGTGCCGTTCGGCGCGAGCGTCGGCGGCGGCGCGTCGCACTTCTCGAACGCGGACTCGTCGAGCGTGCCCGCGAGGTCGAGGACGTAGCGTCGGCCGGCGTCGTTGGTGGCATCCAGGGCCTCGTAGACGCGGCCGATGTCGCGCACGGGGACGACGTCGACGTCGGGGTAGATCTTCTCCCGCGCGCAGAGGTCGACGACCTCCTGCGTCGCCGGTATGCCGCCGATGGTCGACGACACGACGGAGCAGGTCTTGCGGAGCTTGCCCGCGATCATCGACGCCGCAAAGGCCGCGTTGACGCCGAGGATGACGAGCTTGCCGTCGTCCTTGACGAGCGCGCGGTACTTGGCCCAGTCGTGCTCCGCGGGGACCGTGTCGAGGACGAGGTCGAGCGTGCGCGCGGCCGCGGCCGTCGCCGCGGCGTCCTCGGAGTTGAGGAAGCTCGTCGCGCCGGAGTCCTTCGCGAGGCGCGCCTTCGCGTCGCCGCGCGAGATCGCGACGACGTCGCAGCCGAGGGCCCTCGCGAGCTTGACGCCCATGACGCCGAGGCCGCCGAGGCCGACGACGCCGACCCTCGTCCCTCCGCCCGCGCCGTAGCGCTTGAGCGGGTCGTACATGGTCACGCCCGCGCAGAAAACGGGCCCCGCGCACTCCAGCGGGTAGTCCTTCGGAATGCGGATGGCGAAGCGCTCGTCGACGACCATGCGGTTCGTGTAGCCGCCGTAGGTCCGCGCGGTCGCCGGCACGCACCGCGCCCGCCCGGACGTGTCCTCGCCGCCGTAGGTGCCCACGCGCTTCCGGCACAGGTTCTCCCGGCCCTCCTCGCACGCCGCGCACTCGAGGCAGCTGTCGACGAGGCAGCCCACGCCGACGGGGTCGCCGACGGACACGCCGCGGACGTCCGCGCCGACGGCGACGGCGATCCCCGCGAGCTCGTGGCCGGGGACGCACGGGTAGCGCGTCTTGATGGGCAGGTGGTCCGCCGCCGTGTGGAGGTCCGTATGGCAGATGCCGCAGTACTTCATGTCGATCTCGATGTCCCGGGGCCCGAGCGCGCGCCGCCGGAGCCGCATCGGCTTGAAGTCGCAGGTCGCGTCGTTGCACGCCATGCAGAGCACCTATGAAGATAGATCAGAAAACTTACAAAACACACCGCATCGCACCTCGAGGGGCTCCTCCTCTGACGATGGTCCATTGCCTGGCATGTTTGGGCGGGGTAGGTGCAACATCGTCACCTCGAGCTTCAACTTGTTGCCGTCTCGAGGCTGGTTGGCGATTGAGAGAGCCAGCGTCCGCTTGTGATCATGTCTACCTGGGTGCGCGCGCCGCGTCCGCGAAATGCAGCGGTCTTTCGTCGCGCGTCGCAGCGCTCACCGCGCGCGCGCCATCGCTGGCAACGAGAGCCGGCTCCGACGCCCGACGGCCCGCGCGACGCCCTCAGAACACGAGAGACCGCCGTCTGGCAAACCGACGCCACCGTAGGCCGACGCCGAGGATGAAGCCGCCCAGCCCGCGCCCGTGCCCGAGATGGGCGCGCTCGGCCTCGGCGACGCGCCGGGGAGCCCCGGCCCCGAGAAGCCGAAGATCGCGCTGACGTCGGCCAAGGCCGAGGAGCCCGTCGTCGAAGCCGCGTGCGACGCGTCCTGGTCCGCCGCCGACGTCGTCAAGGCCCTCTGCGACGCCCTCGTCGCCACGGGCAAGCTGCGCGCGACGCCGGCCTTCATCCGCACGGACCGCGAGGCGAAACTCGTCAAGATCTTCGAGAAGGCGAAGCTCGACGGCGCGAAGCTCGCGTCCTTCGGCAACGCGCGCGAGCTCGAGATCGTCATCCGCAACGCGACCCAGGGCGAGGGCTGGGTCGACGACGTCCAAAAGGCCATGAAGACCTTCCTGCCCGCGGACGTGCAGCGCGCCAAGGTCGCGAACGCCGAGTCCGAGGAGGCGAAGAAGGTCAAGGCGGCCTACCGCGAGCGCGCGGCGGCGGGCGGCGGCCGCCCGGGCGAGCGGCCCGACGGCGACCGCCCCGCCGACGACGCCTTCGCGTCCTTCGGCGGCCGCTCCGGCGGCGGCGGCGGCGACCGCGCGTGCTACAACTGCGGCCAGACGGGCCACATCAGCCGCGACTGCCCGAACCCGCCGAGCGGCCAGAGCGCCGACCGCGACGCGGCCTTCGCGTCCTTCGGCGGCCGCTCCGGCGGCGGCGGCGACCGGGCCTGCTACAACTGCGGGCAGACGGGCCACATCAGCCGCGACTGCCCGAACGGGCCCGGTGGCGGCCGCGACGACGCCTTCGCGTCCTTCGGCGGCGGCGGCGGCGGCATGGGCGGCGGCGACCGCGCCTGCTACAACTGCGGCGAGATGGGCCACATCTCCCGCGACTGCCCCAACGGCGGCGGCGGCGGCCGCTACTAGGCGCTCCCTCCGGGCCGACGCGCGCAAGCCGGCCGCGTGCCCGAGACCAAGAACCGCCCGGGCGCGAGCCCCCCCGGGTCCCACCCCTCGCTTCTGTCCCCCCCTTCTATCGACACGTCTATCGACGCATATTCCGACCTAGCTCGCTACTGGCTCTTGAGCTTCGCGACCTCGTGCTCGAGCAGGGCGACGCGGTCCCGGAGCTGCTGGACCTCGTCGTCGCCGTCGCCCGCGGCCGCGTCCGAGTCTCGTCGCGGCGGGTCCGAGTCTCGTCGCGGCCTGCGCGGCGTCTCCTTGCCCACGGCCGCGCGCGCGAGGCGCACGGCCTCGTCCGCGGCCTCGCGGAGCGCCGACGACTTCCACGCCGCGAGGGAGATGATCCCCGCGAGCACGCCGGACGTCACCGCGGCGCCGATGAAGACGCCGACGGTCACGGCCGTGCCGTACGTCTTGAGCCGCTGGTTCAGCGACGCGCCCGGCAGCTTCATGGCCGTCGACGCGTCCCCGGCCAGCTTCTTCGTCGCCTCCCGCACGCTCTCGACCATCTTGTCGGCGCTCTGCTCGAGCGGGCTCTTCGTCGAGGACCGGAGGAGGGTCGCCATGTTGTTGCGTTTTTGGAGCGGATCGAGGGCGCGCGGGCGCGGTTCGGCGCGGCGGCGCGAGGGCGCGAGGACGGCGCGGGCGAGGGCGCGCGGGCGCGGTCCGGCGCGGCGATGCGAGGGCGCGAGGACGGCGCGGGCGCCGACTGCCGGCGTCTATTGCCTTGACGCGTCTCTAAACGTAGGGGGCCCGGGGAGGGACCGCGGGAGTCGGAGTTTTCAGAGGCTCGGCCTCAGGCTCAGCCTCGGCGTCTATTGCCACACGCTTGACGCTTGAGAGCCGCGGATTGAAGCTTCAATGAACGTTCTTGAAGCGCTTAAACACAGCTATGGCAGACCTCCCAAGAACGAGAACACACAGCACCCCCTTCCTTTAGTCGAAGTAGATGCGGCGCTTCGTGCGTACGGGGCTCCGGCAGAGGGGGCACTCGGCGATGTCCGCGGCGCACGCCTCGCAGACGCAGAGGTGGCCGCAGGAGAAGGCGACCTGGCGCGAGTCCTCGAGGCAGACGACGCACTCCGTCAGGTCCGTGGCCTGGACGCGGCTCGCCCGCCGCGCGATCTCCCGCGCGACCTTGCGCGTGAGCTCCGGCAGGAGCTCGTCGACGACCTCGAGCGCGTCGTTCGGCAGCGCGCGCGGGTCGAGCTCGCGGAGCGCCGCGAGGGCCTCCAAGCTCCGCGCCGCCTTGCGCGCGGGCGTCGCCGGTGACGCGGCGCCCGGCGGGTCCCGGACGATTTGCACGTCGCGCCGCGCGCCGGTCCTCGCGGCGGGCGCCGGGTCGCGCGCGTCCCGCACGTCGCGGACGAGCCGCCGCGCCTCGTCGAGGAGCGCCGCGGCCGCGGCCGGCGGGTCCCGCGCGCCCCGCTTCGGCGACCGGAGCGCGTCGATCTCGCGGTCCAGCGCCTCGAGGTAGCGGCCGCGCGCGTCGTCGCGGAGGTCCCACGCGCGGTCGCGCCGCGGACGGTGCGACCGCCAGTTCGCGGCCAGGACGCCTAGAAAGGGCGCCGCGACGGCCGCGAAGCCGAGGGGCGACGGCACGCAGGTCGCCACCCCAAAGGCCAGCGCCGCTTTGGCCGCGGCCGCGACCGCGACCGCGCGGCCGACGAGGCCGTCGACGGCGCGCCGCGCGGACCCCCGGGCGCCGTCGTAGGCGCGCCGCGCGGCGGCCTGAGTGCCGCCGACGGCGCGCGCCGCGGCGGCCCGGGCCGCCGACAGCGCCGCGGCCGCGCGTCTGACGGCGCCGCGGCCCGCGGCGGCCGCGCCCGCGGCCGCGCTCCGGGACCACGTCGCCAGGAACTTTTCGACGCGCCGCCGCTCCTCGCCCATGTCCCTGGCGTACCACGAGCGCGGCGGCAGCGCTTCCGACGGGAGGCCGCAGTGCGCGACGAGCGCCTCTAACACCGCCGCGTCGCCGTCGGCCGCCGCGGCCTTGGCCGCGATGGCGAGCGCCGGCGCCGGCGGCGCCGCCGTCCCGCACAGGATCTTCAGCAGCTTCGCGTGGCCCGCGGACGCCGCCAGGACGACCGGCACCCGGCCGTGCGCGTCCGCCTCGAGGACGTCGGCCCCGGCGGCGAGCGCCTTCGCGATGACGCTCAAATCCGGCGCGTTTCCGGCGCACTCCGACCGCAGCACGCGCCCCGCGCGCGCGCCGGCGACGCGCGCCCCGAAGGCCATGGTGCCGTCGACGTCGTCGACCAAGGCGCGGACGTCCGCCATGAAATCCGGCCGCCGGCCGCCGCCGTCCAGAATCGCCGCGACGACCATGACGCGCCCCAGGGCGAGGCGCGCCGCGTCGGCGCCGCCCCGCAGGCTCTCCCTCAACTCGACCTTGGCCTGCGGGAAGTGGTTCCGGTCGCCGAGCGCGCAGGCCAAGGCGAGCCGCGCGTCCGCGTCGTACGCGTCGCCGTCGACGGCGCCGCGGTCCTCGGCGAAGGCCGCCTCGAGGGCCGCCCAGTAGGACTCGTCCACCAGGCCGCCGCAGAGCTCGCTGTCGCGCAGCTCCCGCGTGTTGCAGACGACGACCTGCGTCCGGTTCGCGATGCCGGCCTCGTCGATGGTCTGCGAGCCGCGGACCCGCGGCCGCGGCCGCTCCTTGGCCGCGCCCCGCGGGCCGAAGAAGAAGTAGGCCGGCAGGATGCCCGCCGCCGCCGCGCGCCGCGTCTGCAGCCGCGACGCGTCGTGCTTCGCGACGGCGTCGAAGACGCGGCCCACGCTGCTCGAGCCGGCCTCGGACCGCAGCCAGAGCACGTCGGCCTCGTCGTGCAGGTTCTGCACGCTGTAGACCCGCTCGTAGACGTCGTCCTCGGAGCTGGCCGCCGCCGCCAGGGCGACGACCGGCAAGAGGAACATCGTCTTCTTGCCGGCGCGCTTTTGGGGTGCAAAGTGCAGTGCACTTGTAGCACTGAAAGCGCATGGCTGCTGGATAGACGGCCGGGCGGCGCCGCTAGTTGGGGCGAGTTCGAACGCGATGGCTGCCCTCGAGGCGCGCACCCCCGAGCGCCGCACGGAGGAGGAGCGGAAGTGGTTCGAGGGCGTGTTGGTCAAAGCCATCGGCGACGGCGAGGAGATCGTCGGCGCCGCTCTTGGAATGATTAACAACAAGATGTGTTGGGAAAAAGTCGCGGCGGCGAAAGCCCGTTTCGACTCACTTTTCGACGACCAGAATCGCCAAGCCTCGATGTTGAGCTGTCTGGTCCTGCTTCGGTCGATGGCGCGCGCGACGTCAGTCGAGTGGGCCGACGGGTCCTCCGACAATGAGTGGCTCAGAAATGTGGCACAGCAACCTGAGCTGACGTCAAAATTCATAGAGAAGTTCCCGGACGATGTGAGATCTCATCCTCCGAGTGTGGCTGGGAGGATGCTCCTCTTCCTCGAAAACCTTCTCTGCCACATCTACGAACTAACGCTCAGTGTATACAAGGAGGAGCGCCGCGGCGGCGACATCTGGCTGCGGCGGCGGCAGTGGCGTGTTCGTCATTCGGTGAGCACTGATGGCAGTAAGGTGGCGCTGCACGAGGCGCCGGACATGCGGTCGAATATCGTGGGCTGGTGTCTAGTGGGCGAAGTTATCGAAGCAGCGAAGGAACACGATGGGTGGATCTTGATTGAGCCCCGCCGGTTCACCGCGCCCAGCGATTTTACTAGTAGACCAATCAATGAACCGATTTGGAGTTGGAAGATTGGTGGCTTCTGCCCCATTAGCCTTACGGTGCGACCCGATCCCGCGGACCCAAGTCTAGACCAACCGATCATTCCGATTCCCTTGCTCGAGCGCGTGAGCCGCGAGAACGAGCGCGCCCTCGAGGTCATGGACGCCTTCCACAAGGCCGACCCCGAGGATTGGCAGAAGCAGATCATCGATAACACGGGCGATCCCTACCGCGGCGCGCCGTTCGACTACGAGAGCCTGGCTTCGTTCATCTTCCGCAAGGCTCAGCTCCACAGCTACCAGGAGGAAGATCACGCCCGCGATCTGAGCCTGACGTTCGATCCCGACATCGTGATCACCGCCCTCGGCCATGAGGTCCGGGGCCGAAGCGCCGCGGTGTTGTGGATCCGGAACGAGACAACCTTATTGCGCGGCATCCATCCGGAGCACGCGGACACGCCCGATCTTCGCGGGGAGCCGAACCGCGTCGTCTTCATCGGCGAGCGGACCAGCGATCGCTTTGTCCGTTGGTACCACCAGATGGTCCACGGGAGGTCCGGGCTACCTGCTGAAAGAGTGGAACATCACGGACGCCGATGGCGCGAGCGAGCCTGAGTGGGAGACAAAGGAGGACGAAGTCAGCGACGGCGACGAGCCTGCGGCGAGCGAGCAGCCCTTCGGGGAGGAGGAGATCTCGACCGCCGAGCTATACGCGCAAATGTTTGGCGACGGCGACGAGCCTGCGGATAGCGACGTCGCCGAGGCTGCGGATAGCGAGCAGTCCCTCGGGGAGGAGGAGGTCGCCGAGCTACACGCGCGCATGCGGCGCCTAAAAACGGGTTGTTGAACTTAATTCCGCTGGGCTGCCGCGCGATGCGGCATGCTGCCTTCGTGCTGCTTCTGCTGCACTCGGTGGCCTGGTGCGGTCCGCGCGAGGAGATCGTCGCGGCCCACGGCCGCGGCGAGGCGCGGCGCGTTGCACAACTCGCCGAGGCGGCGCTGGCATCCCGCGGGGAAGACGGAGTGCGGCCGAGCCTGGCCCACTACCTCGGCTGGGCGCACCACGCCCTCGGCGACGTGGCCGCGGCCGCCGAGGCCTTTCTCGGCGCCGTGAGGCGGGACCCGGGCGAGGCGCGGTCCTGGCTCCACCTCGGCGACTGCCTGTCGGCCAAGTACGACGCCGCGGGCGCGGCGTTGGCGCTCGGCAACGCGCGCGACGCCGCGGCGGCGGCGGGCGACGCGGCGACGGCGCGCGACGCGCGCGCGAAGCTCGTCAAGACCAAGGCCTGGATCTGCGACTGGGCGCGCTTCGACGACGACGTCGCGCGCGTCGCGCGCGAGGCCGCGCGGAGCGCCAACACGTCCGCGCCGAGCGTCGAGGCGCTGGGCGTCGCCCAGGTCGCGGCGCTCCTGCCGCCGGCGACGCTCCGCGACCTGAGCCGCGCCCAGGCCTTCGCCGCGGCGCCGGCGGCGTCCCGGACGGTCGCGCCGCGACGGAAACACCGCGACGCGATCCGCGTCGGCTTCGTGTCCGCGGATTTCGGCGTCCACCCCGTCTCCGCGTCGCTCCGCGGCGCGCTCCTCGCGCTGGACGCGCGCGACGACGTCGAGGTCTACTGCTTCGCCCTCGCGACGACGGACTCGTGGTGGCGGCGCAACGCGAGCGGCGCGCTGGGCGCGCGCTTCGTCGACGTCGAAGGGTCGTCGCCGGCCGAGGCCGCGGCGCTCTTCCTCGAGCGCGGCCTCGACGTCGTCCTGGACCTCCACGGCCACACGCTCGGCAGCGGGCTGCCCCTCCTCGGCGACCCGGCCCTCGCCCGCGTGCTGAAGCTGAGCTTTTTGGGCTGGCCGCAGACGACGGGCGCGGACTTCGTCGACGGCCTCGTCGCCGACGGCGCGGCCGCGCGCGTCGAGGCGGCGGGCGACGAGTTTCTGGAGCCGCTGCTCGTCCTCGGCGGCGCGACGAGCTACCTGCCCGCGGACCACGCGAACCTCGTCGGCTCCTGCCGCCAACGGCCGCGCGCGACGGCCGCGGACGTTGGCGTCGCGTCACACGCGCCCTTCTCCTTCGGCGTCGTGTCCAACTTCCAGAAGATGGACCCGGACATCTTCACGGTCTGGGCGAACGCGCTGCGCCGGAGCGACGGCGACGCCGTCCTGCGGCTCCTGCGCTACAAGCTCCACGTCCACGCGGTCCCCTTGCTGAAAGCGGAGCTCGCGGCGCGCGGCGTGCACCCGTCGCGGCTCGAGGCCCTGGACCTCCAGCCCTGGATCGACCACCACTGGACCAAGTCCCAGTTCGACGTCGTTCTGGACACGACCGCGAAGACGGGCCACACCGTCGTCCAGGACGCGCTCTGGGCGGGCGCGCCCGTCGTGTCGCTCGCGGGGAGCCGCATGGAGGCGCGCTACGGCGCGTCGGCGCTGCGCGCCGCGCGCCTCGAGGGCCTGACGGAGGCGTTTAGCTTGAAGGACTACGAGGACCTCGCCGACGGGCTCCGCGCGCGGCCGCGCGCGCGGGCCGCGCTCCGCAAAGCGCAGGACGCGCGGCTCCGGAAAGCGCCGCTCTTCGACACGGAGCGCTGGGCGGCCCACTTCGCCGCGGCGCTCGCGGCGAACGTCGAGGCCTTTGGCGCGGCCGGGCGGCGCCACGTCGTCGCGCCGGACACGCGCGCGGACCGCGCGTTCCCGCTCCGCGACGTCGAACCCGACGACGGCGGCGTCGTGCTCCTCCACGTGGGCGGCCGCGCGCGGAAGCCGGGCTGGCGCATCGTCGACGTCGCGCCGGGGCCCCACGTCGACGTCGTCGCGCCCATGCACGCGCTGAAAGGGTTCGGGAACGGCTCCGTCGCCGCGCTCTACGCGTCGCACGTGCTCGAGCACGCGACGCTCGGCGCGCGGGGCAGCCCGCTCGCGGCGACGCTCGCGGAGTGGCACCGTGTCTTGAAGCCGGGCGGCGCGCTGCTGCTGGCCGTGCCGGACCTGGGCGCGCTGGCGGCGTTCTTCGCGGCGGGCGACCTCTCACTGGAGGAGAAGGCCGCGCTGACGCGCGTGCTCTTCGGCGGGCAGAGTCACGACGCGGACTACCACCACGTCGCCTTCGACTTCGACCTGCTCGCGGCGACGCTCAACGGCGCGGGCTTCTGCGGCGTGACGCGCGTCGCGTCCTTCGGCCTCTTCGCGGACTCGTCGGCCGCCACGTTCCGGGGCGAGCCCGCGTCGCTCAACGTCGCCGGGACGGCCTGCGGCAAGGACGGGCCGCAGGTCCACGTGGACCTGCCGAGCATAACGTACGTGCGTTAGAGCCCCCGGGACCCGTAGCCGCGGCGCCGCGCGGTCTCGAACTGGTCCTCGAGCTTCGCGAGGACGTCGCTCCGCGCGGCGTCGCCGGCGGGCGCCGCGGCGACCTTGTGCTTCTTCGCGCCCATGAGGGCGAGGAACTTGTCGCTCCGCGCGGCGTCGCCGAGCGCGCCCGCGGCGGCGCCCCAGCGCTCGAGGTTCGACGACTCGCGGTCCCGGTCCGCCTCGCTCGCGCCGGGTCGGTCGCGCTTCGCGCCGCCCCAGAGCCGCTTCCGCTTGTCGTCGCCCGAGAGCTTCGGCTTCGCCGCGGCGCCGGGCGCGCGGACGACGTAGGTGCGCGTGCTCCTGCCGAAGCAGAGCGACGCGCCGGGCGCGACCGTCGTCCGCCGCCGCGGCGCGAGCGGCTCCGGCGCGCCGTCGACGTACGTGCCCTGCGCGCTCCCGAGGTCCTCGATCCAGACGGACCCGTCGGCCTGCCGCTCGAGCCGCGCGTGCCGCCGCGAGCAGCTCGCGTGCTCCAGCGGGATCTCGCAGGCGTCGGCGTCGCGGCCCAGCGTGTAGGTGGAGAGTCCCGATAGGTCGATGGTGTCGATGACGGCCTTGTCCTTATAGACCTCGAGGTAGTGGGAGCCCCGCTTCTGCGGCACTCGAGGTGGCGCGGGAGGCGACGCGGGAGGAGGCGCGCCTCGGTCGAAGCGGCTCATGCTGCGCTTCTGGTGGCTGTGGATGTTGAATCGGCGAGGTAAACAAAGTTTTGTTGCTGCCGAGCTTCGGGGGCAGCCTTTGTCGTTGGCACACACACGCGCGCCTCAGCAACTGTCTTTTCCGATGGCGGCCCTCTGCGCCCGCTGCCCTCCTTGCATCCAGAGCAGCAGCAGCGGCGCGCCGCCGAGCAAGGAGGACCTGAGCCACCGCCTCGCGGCGCTCCAGCTCACGATAGACGACTACAAGGAGGGCCGGGCGTCGAGCGCCTACCCGCGCACCTGGGTCGTCGCGCGGCGGCCGGACCCGGCCCGCGAGTTCACGGTCCTGACCCTCAACCTGGAGGCGGACAGCGCCAAGGACGTGTCGAAGCTCGCGGGCCAGCGCGCGCCGCGGTGCAAACCCGGCGAGGACTCGTCGGGCTGCGAGCAGGCCGTCGCCGCCGCGCTGCGGCGGGACCCCGACGTCATCTGCCTCCAGGAGATGCAGCGCTGCCGGCGCGAGTACTGCGACTGGTGCGCCCTGGGACACTGCCGCTTCAACCACGCGCACAAAGTTCACGAACTGCTGACGAAGGCCGGGTTCGGCGGCGAGTACAAGCGCGACGGCAAGCAGCTCACCGTGGGCGTCTACTACAAGCTGGCCGCGTTCCGGCGCATCCACGTGGGCTTCGTCACCTTCGACAAGCCCCAGTACGTGGCCGGCGTTTCGCGCGCGGCCGAGAGCCAGAAGGGCGCGATCCTCGCGCTGCTCCGCCACGCCGCGAGCGATCTGCCGGTCCTCGTCGCGTCCGTCCACCTCGACGTGCCCATGAGCAACGGCGTGCCCTGCACGCAGCAGCAGGTCGCGGGGCTGAAGCAATTGCGGAAAAAGATGGAGGAGATGCTCACGCATCCGAAGAACGCGAGCCAGGGCACGACGCTCGACACGCCCGTCGTCGCCGCGGGCGACTTCAACACGCTCGCCTACAAATCCTGGGACCCGCGCATCGCGCCGCCCGACGCCTACGTCGAGATGACGCGCACGAACGCGCGCGCGTGCGGCGGGAGAGGGCTCTTGTTCAAGTCGGCCTACGCGGCCGTGCAGGGCGCCGAGCCGCCGTACACGTCCGTCGCGCCGGACTTCACGCACGCCATCGACTACCTCTTCTTCACGCCGCGCCAGCTCGCGCCGTCGGCCGTGCTGGCCGTCGTCGAGGACCGCGCGAACCTGCCGGCCGCGCCCTGGCCCTCGGACCACCTGCCCCTGGTGGCCAAGTTCGAGCTCCGCGACGCGCCGGACCCGACGACGCCGCCCTCCGCGACGGCCTGCCGCTTCGGCGACGCCTGCATCTTCTATGCCAAGGGCAAGTGCCGCAACTTCCACCCGCCGCGGAAGCACCCGCTCCGCGAGTGGCGCGCGAACCGGCCCCAGGGCGCGTAGTGGGTTCTTAGACGTCGTGTTGATCTCCCTCGCCTAGTCTGCTGGTTGTGCACTCGTGCACCTCGGCCGCCGGGCCGCCGTCGACCGGCGGCCGGGCGAGCCTCGGGCGAGGCGGCGGGCCGTCGCGCGGACCCCCGCCACGACGTCGAGCTGGCTCGAGAGGCAAGCGAAATGGCTGCCGCCACCGTGGCTCGTTTCTCTGGCGCCCTCCGGGGCGCGTCGGCCGGCGCGCGCTCGTCCCTGCGACGAAGCGCCCCGGCCGCCACCCGGGCCCTGAGCGACGACGCGGGGCGCGTCTACGGGGGTCGTGCGCGCTCGGCGTCCCCAATCGCCACAAACGCGTCCACGGACGCCCGCGCGCGCGCGCGCGCCCCCCGGACGCGCGATGTCGACCGCGCCGCCCCCCCGCAGTCAAGGACCAGGACCGCATCTTCACGAACCTCTACGGCGAGGAGGACTGGCGCCTGGGGGACGCGAAGAAGCGCGGCGACTGGCACATGACCAAGGACATCATGTGGATGGGCCCGGACTGGATCGTCCAGGAGATGAAGGACAGCGGCCTGCGGGGCCGCGGCGGCGCGGGGTTCCCGAGCGGCCTGAAGTGGAGCTTCATGCCCAAGGCCTCGGACGGCCGGCCGAGCTTCCTCGTCATCAACGCCGACGAGTCCGAGCCCGGCACGTGCAAGGACCGCGAGATCATGCGCAAGGATCCCCACAAGCTCGTCGAGGGCTGCCTCCTCGCGGGCTACGCGATGCGCGCGCGCGCGTGCTACATCTACATCCGCGGCGAGTACTTCAACGAGGCCATGGTCATGGACGAGGCGATCCACGAGGCCTACACGGCGGGCCTCATCGGCAAGAACGCGTGCGGGTCCGGCTACGACTTCGACATGTACCTGCACCGCGGCGCGGGCGCCTACGTCTGCGGCGAGGAGACGGCCTTGATCGAGTCCCTCGAGGGCAAGCAGGGCAAGCCGCGGCTCAAGCCGCCGTTCCCGGCGAACGTCGGCGTCTTCGGCTGCCCGACGACGGTGACGAACGTCGAGACCATCGCCGTCGCGCCGACGATCCTCCGCCGCGGCGCGTCCTGGTTCACGGGCTTCGGGCGCAAGAACAACGCGGGCACGAAGCTCTTCGCGATCAGCGGCCACGTGAACAACCCCATCGTCGTCGAGGAGGAGATGTCGATCCCCTTCCGCGAGCTCATCGACAAGCACTGCGGCGGCGTCCGCGGCGGCTGGAACAAGCTCCAGGCCGTCATCCCCGGCGGGTCGTCCGTGCCCGTGCTGCCCATCGAGGAGTGCGAGGAGGCGCTCATGGACTTCGACGACCTCAAGGCGCGCGGGTCCGGCCTGGGCACGGCCGCGGTCACCGTCATGGACGACACCGTCGACATGATCGCGGCGATCCGGCGCCTCGCACACTTCTACCGCCACGAGTCCTGCGGCCAGTGCACGCCCTGCCGCGAGGGCACGGGCTGGCTCGAGACGATATTGGAGCGCATGGAGGTCGGCGACGCGGACGTCCGCGAGATCGGCATGCTCGACGAGATCTCGCGCCAGATCGAGGGCCACACGATCTGCGCGCTCGGCGACGCCGCGGCCTGGCCCGTCCAGGGCCTGATCCGCCGCTTCCAGCCCGTCATCGAGGAGCGCATCGCCGACCCCCAGGGCTTCGACTTCGAGGCCCACTTCCAGCACGCGTGGAGCGGCGAGAAGTTCAAGAACGCGGAGTGGACCAAGGAGTTCGGCGGCGGCAAGGACCAGGAGGTCGACCCGGGCGCCCACACGAACATCATCCGCCCCCTCCTCGAGAACTGAGGCGGGGCATCACGTCCTCCCTTCCCCCCCGTTCGCCTTTTAAGCTCGCGACCTTTACTCTAGCCGACGGCGCGCCGCGGCCTCCGGGGAGCATGACTTTTATTAGCCGCCGGCGCGGCCCCGCGGCCGCTGCCCGCCGTAGGCCGCGGGGTCGAGCGCGTGGGCCGGCTGCGTCGACAGCTCCCGGGACAGGTCCGGCACGGCGGGCTCGTCGTTGCGCTCGAAGACGCAGACGTGGAGCTCGCAGTGGATCGAGTTGAGGAGCGGCCGGAGCGTCGGGAAGCGCTCGACCTCGCGGAGCGTGTCCGGGTTGCCGCAGAAGTGGAGGTCGTGCATCATCTGGGGGAGGAACTTGGCGCGGAACGGGTTCGCGGCGTCCGTGGGCTGGATGTCCTCGACGACGAGCACGCCGCGCGGCGCGAGGCGCGGGAACCAGAAGAACACCGTGTCGACCATCTGCGACGCGATGTGCGAGCCGTCGTCGACGACGACCTTGAGCGGCGGCGCGTCCGGCCGCCGCATGTGCGTCGTCCACGTCGCCTCGAGGAAGTCGAACCACGACGCGTCGCCGCAGTGGAGCCGCTTCGCCGCGCGCAGCGACCCGTAGCGCGGGTTCGTCTTCGCGAAGTTGCCCCAGGCCTTGGGCCACTCCGTCCAGTAGCCGTCGACCTTGCCGTCGCCGGGCGGCAGGCACGACACCTCGAGGGAGTGCGCCTCCGCGTTGGGCAGGAACTCCATGAACGCGTCGAAGCCGTGGCCGTTGAAGTAGCCGATCTCGAGGAACTGGAACCGCGGCGCGTCGGCCCGGGGCATCCACCGGTCGTAGATCGTGTCGTAGAAGTGGCCGAAGACCTTGCACTTGTCGTTCTGCGAGCCCGCGTACTGGAAGTCGCGCTTCGCGAGGTTCGCGCGGCCCTTGATCTTGTCCGTGTTCGTCTTGCGCGCGACGTCGTAGAAGCTCGGCGACCGGTCCAAAGCCTGGAGGCGGCGCGTGCCGTTGCGCGCGCCGCGCTGCGCGCGGGCCGTCGCGGCGAGGAGCACGAGGAGCAGGCAGCGGATCATGGTGGTGGCGAAGGCCGGCGGCGCGGGCGCGCGCTGGCAACTGCGGATACCATCGGTCGGGGCCATCGGGAACCTCAGTTTTTGGCGAGGTTTGCCACACCTCGATGCTGCCTCTCACGGGCTTCTGATTGATCGACAGGCGATGGCCAGCGTCGGAGAGCTCGACGAGCCCCTGATGGCCAGCGTCGGAGAGCTCGACGAGCCCCTGCTCCTGGACTCGGAAGAGACGGAGCACGACGATGAGTCGTCGACGGCCTTCGGCGCGGCCCTGGGCATGATCAAGTGCGCCATCGGCGCCGGCACCTTCGCCCTGCCCTTCGCCTTCCACGAGGCGGGCGTGGGCCTCGCCGCCGTGTGCACGCTGGCGCTCGGCGCTTTGAGTGTCTACACCATCGTGTTGCTGGAGCGGGCCGAGCGCGCCGTGGCGCCCGCGGGCGCGAACCTGAGCTACCCGGCCGTCGCCGCGCGCGCGTTCCCGGGCGCGGTCGTCGGCGGCGTCAACGCGGCCGAGGCCGCGTGCCTCGCGGGCGTCGTCTGCACGTGCTTCGGCGTCTGCGCGGCCTACGTCGACTTCTGCGCCGGCGTGCTGCCGCCCATCGTGAGCCGCTACGTCGGCGGCACCGCGGGCGCGCCGGTCTTCGCGGCCGCCATCTCGCCCATCGTCTTCCTCCTCGCGCTCATCGACTCCGCGAAGACGCTGAGCTTCACGTCCATGCTCGGCAACGTCGCCGTCGCCGCGGGCATTTTCGGGGTCGTCGGCGGCGGCGCGGGCAAGCGCGAGGCCGGCGTGGGGCCGCTCGCGAAGCCCGCGGGCGTCCCCTCGTTCTTTGGCTCGACGGTCTTCCTCTTCGCGATCCACATCGTCGTGCTGCCCATCGCCCACGGCATGCGGCCGAAGCGCCCCGCGGCCAAGGCGCCGACGACGACCTTCGCGACCGCGGCCTGCTGGGCCTTCGCCGTCATCGCGTTCGTCAACGCGGTCTTCGCCGGGACGTCCGCGGTCCTCTTCTATCGCGGCCACTGCCACCCGAGCGACCCGGACCTGGGCCACAACTACGAGGGGCCCTGCCCGAACGTGCTGTCCAACTTCGCGACGACGTCCGTCGCTTTGGATGTTGTGATTTTATTTTTTTGCGCGAACATCGTCCTGACGACGCCGCTGATCCTCCTCGCGCCGCGCGCGATCCTCGAGCCGCCGCTCGTCGACTGGGCCCGGGCCCGGGGCCTGCCGGCGCGGCCGGTCAGGGTCGCCTATCGCTTCGCGACCGTGGCGCTCGTGCTGGCCGTCGCGCTCGGCGTGCCCGACTTCTCCGACATGGTCGACCTCGTCGGCGGCGTCTGCAATTCGCTCATGGGCTTCGTCATCCCGCCCCTCCTGCACCTCAAGGTGTCGGAGAAGCCGTCGGCGACGTCCAAGGTCGCCCACGTCGCCATCTCCGTGTTCGGGGTCGTCGCCATGGTCTACACGACGTACACGACCGCGGCGAAGCTCGCGCGCTCCTAAACGTGCGCGTTTACCCGCGCCGCGACGACGACGGGCGTCGCGCAGACGGGGCACGTCGGCTTCGTCGCGAGCCAGGCCGCGAGGCACGCGGCGTGGAACGCGTGGGGGCATGCGGGCAGCGTCCGGACGCCGTCGCCCGCGGCGAAGTCCTCGAGGCAGACCATGCACCGCGCGTCGTCGCCGCCCGTCGCGGCCCGGCGCGCGATGTCCGCGGCGTCGAGGGTGCCGAGCGTCGTCGCGCGCAGGCAGTCGTCGACGCCGGGCTTCGTGTCGACGTCGCCGATGCGCGCCTGGAGTTCCAAGATCTCCTCGTAGTCCATGCGCTCCATGAAGTCGTCGTCGACGGCGTCGCCGACGGCGCCGCGGACCGCGGCCTCGAGGTGGCCCCGGTGCACGACGCCCCGCGACGCCATGCGCATGGCGACGAGGGCCGTGCCGTCCGCGAGGCCGAGGTCCGCGAGGCGCGAGTGTTCGAGCGTCGCCTCGAACACTCGTCGCGGCTGCGCGCGGAGCAGGACGAGGCCGTCCGCGGCCTCGCCCGCGGCCTCGGCGACGCGGAGCCGCAGCTCGCCGAGCGTCGCGTCGCCGCCGACGGCGAGCGTCGCCGACGAGCCCGCGGGCAGGCGCACGCGGAAGCGCAGCCGCGCGCCCGCGGCGGCCGGCGGCGGCGGCGGCGGCGGCGGCGGCGCGGGGGCGGATTGAGGTCGGGGCGGCGGGACCGCCGCGCGGGTTGGTGCTGGGACCGCCGGGACACTGTCGGAAGTTGATGGGGCCGCTGGCACCGCGTCGGAGCGCGCCGCGGCGCGTCGGAGCGTCGCCTCCACGCGCGCGCGGTCCGCGGCCGCGTCGCCGCGGGGCGCGTCGCCGCGGCGGTCCGCGGCGTCCTCGGCCCAGCGGCGCCGCTCCGCCGCGCGCTGGGCGGCGAGGGACGCGTCGCGCACGCGCCGCGCCTCGGCCTGCTGCCGCAGCGTCTCCTGGTCGGCGCCGCCGCGCGTCGCCGCGGCCGGCGCGGCGGCGGCCGGCGCGGGTCGCGGCGCGGGCGCGGCGCCCGCGGCCCGGAGCGCCTCCAGGGCGCGCAGCTGTGGCAGCGGGTCGGCGGTGGCTGGGAGGAGTAGGGTGCGGTCCGCCTGGAGCGAAAAACCGCAGAGCGCGAGGAGCTCGAGGGCGCCGGCGTGGCGCACGACCTTGGCTTGGATGGCGGCGTTGTCCATGCGCAGCACGCGGAACTTCGGGTCGTCGCTCGTCGTGATTTTACTGAGGATCTTGTAGAGCGTTGTCCGGCACTCGTGCGGAAGTTGTTGGACGAGCTGAGACTCGGCCATGGCGCCTCAGACGCGGGGTCCCGCGCTTGTGGAGACGGGGCCGACGACGCCTCAGACGCAGGCCCCGTCGCTGCGAATGGTCTTGCGCCAAAGGTGAACCCTCCTTGAGGCCTCTCCCGCGACGCTGCTGGTCTCCGCTTTTTCAAAGCGTCGTGCTCCGTTTTCTTTGTACGCGCGCTGCGAACGACGCCCGTACGCCCTCCCGCAGCACGCGCATCACCCGCCGCCGAAATGGCCGAAACGTCGCCGCGCAAGAAGGCGAAGACCGGCGCCAAAGCGGCGCCTCTGGACCTGAGCGGCCCGCCGCTGTCCTGGACCGCGACGCTGAACAACGGCGTGGCGATGCCCGTCGTCGGCTTCGGGACCTACAAGCTCAAGGAGGGCGAGGCCGGGTCCGCGATCAAGCACGCGCTCGCCGCGGGCTACCGGCTGCTCGACACGGCGCACGTCTACTGCGGCGGCAAGATGGAGCCCATCGTCGGCAAGGCCAAGACCGAGGACGTCTTCCTCATCACGAAGCAGTGGCGCGGCTTCCACGGCCACGCGGAGACGACGAAGTGCCTCAACCAGTCGCTGTCGCGGCTCAAGGTCGACAAGGTCGACCTGCTCCTCATGCACTGGCCCGGGCCGGGCTACAGCGCCATGGGCCGGTCGAAGGAGCGCATCGCCAAGGAGGGCATCGAGTGCTACTTCAAGAAGGGCCACGAGGACATCGCGGCCGTGCGCCTCGAGACGTGGCGCGCGATGGAGGACGCGTACCTCGCGGGCAAGTGCGGCGCCATCGGCGTGTCGAACTTCAGCGCGGACCACCTGCGCAAGTTGTTGGAGTGGGAGGGCCTGCGCGTCAAGCCCGCGGTGTTGCAGAACGAGCTCCACCCCTACCTCCAGCAGAAGGACGTCGTGGAGCTCTGCGCGGAGCACGCGATCCTCGTGCAGGCCTACGCGTCGCTGGGCGGCCAGGACTCGGCGGCGAAGCACTGGGCGGAACTCGACCGGCCGCCCCTGCTCGAGCACCCGGCCGCGGCCGCCGCGGCGAAGGCGCACGGCGCGACGCCCGCCGCGGTCCTCCTCCGCTGGGCCGTGCAGAAGGGCTACGCTGTCATCCCCAAGTCGCGCGACAAGGGCCGCATCCGCGCGAACACCGAGCTGGGCTTCGTCCTCGACGACGCCGAGATGGCCGCGCTCGACGCGCTCGACCTCGGCGGCATGAAGGGCCGCCTCTGCTGGCGCAAGGACGAGCTCCGCATGATGGAGTTCCCCTGAGGGAGGCCGCAAGTAAGATCGATCGCCGCTCGGTGTTTTTCTCTCCGTGTATGCGCGGGCGCGGCGGTTCGCGGCGGCGGCGCGCGCGGCAACGTCGAGACGTTGACGTCGCTTGAACGTCTATTGAACCGCGGCGTGACGCAGCGTATGAGCATGAGCTGGTTCGCCGCTCGCACCATGGCCTGTGCCATGCTCGCAGCCGTGGGCCGCTCGTTCTCGCTGGCGCCGAAGGGTCGCCTCGCGCGGCCGCTCTGCGCGGCGACGATGGACGTGGGCGTCGAGGCGCCGCCGCGCCTGAAGATCAAGAGCATCGTCGAGGCCGAGGCGCCGGAGTCGCTCGTCGGCACGAGGACGGTGATCAAGGGCTGGGCTAGGACCGTGCGCGCGCAGAAGGCCCTGGGCTTCCTCGAGGTCAACGACGGGTCGAGCTTCGGCGGCCTCCAGTGCGTCTTCGAGGGCGAGGCCGCGCTGAAGGAGCTCAAGGCCGTGTCGACGGGCTGCGCGGTCGCCGTCGAGGGCGAGATCGTCACATCCGGCGGCAAGCAGGCCATCGAGCTCAAGGCCGAAACCCTCGAGGTCGTCGGCGGCTGCGAGGAGGGCTACCCGCTCCAGAAGAAGCGCCACTCGCTCGAGTTCTTGCGATCGATCGCGCACCTCCGGCCGCGGACGAACACGCTCGCGGCGGCGGCGCGCCTGCGGTCGTGCCTCGCCCAGGCGACCCACCGCTTCTTCGAGCAAGAGGGGTTCGCCTACGTGCACAGCCCCATCATCACCGCGTCGGACTGCGAAGGCGCGGGCGAAATGTTCCGCGTGACGTCGCTCTCGGGCGACGCGCTCGCCAAGGCGGCGACGAAAGAGAACGGCTTCGAGGACGACTTCTTCGCGCGGTCCGCCTTCCTCACGGTGAGCGGCCAGCTCAGCGCGGAGACCTACGCGTGCGCGATGGGCGACGTCTACACGTTCGGCCCGACGTTCCGCGCGGAGAACAGCCAGACGTCGCGGCACCTCGCCGAGTTCTGGATGATCGAGCCCGAGATGGCCTTTGCGACGATCACGGAGGCCATGGACAACGCCGAGGCGCTGCTCAAGTCCACGATCGCCGCGGCGCTCGACAAGTGCGGCGCGGACCTCAAGTTCTGCGACCAGTTCTACGGCGACAAGGAGCTGCTGGACCGCCTCACGTCCATCGCCACGGGCGCGCCCTTCGTGCGCCTCAAGTACGCCGACGCCGTCGACGTGCTCCGGGCGGAGATCGCCAAGGACCCGTCGAAGTGGCAGTTCCCGGACGTCGAGTTCGGCACGGACCTGGCGACGGAGCACGAGCGCTGGCTCGCGGAGACGCACTGCGGCGGCAACTGCGTCTTCGTCTACGACTACCCGCGGACCATCAAGTCCTTCTACATGCGCGACAACGACGACGGCGAAACCGTCGCGGCCTTCGACCTCCTCGCGCCGGGCGTCGGCGAGCTCGTCGGCGGCTCGCAGCGCGAGGAGCGCACGGACAAGCTCGAGGCGAAGATGGTCGAGTTCGGCCTCGACCCGGAGGACTACTGGTGGTACCTCGACCTCCGCAAGTACGGCTCCGTGCCCCACGCGGGCTACGGCCTCGGCTTCGACCGCCTCGTCTGCTACGTCTCCGCCATCGAGAACATCCGCGACTCGATCCCCTACCCCCGCTACCCGGGCAGCGCGACGTTCTAGGCGCGGGCGTAATCGTGCGGTCGTCGCGCGGCGCCGCGCGAGCGTCAACATGGGTGACGGTGCCGCGCCGAGCACGAGTCGAGCCGGAGCAATGGCTTCCAGGATTTGCTACAACCTAGCTTTGTTCGCGGCGACGGCGGCCGCGTTGAGCCCGCTGCAGATTTCGCAGACGTCGCGTCCGTTGCAGCAGCCGCAGTCATCGCGCCGCAACCTCCTCGCCGGCGCCGGCGGCCTCGCGGCCTTCGCCGTCGTCGAGACCGCGTCGGCCGCGGAGACGACGGCAGCGCAGAAGGAGGAGATCGCCAAGGCCCTCGAGAAGGCGGTGTCGGAGACCGCCGCCGCGGCCGCCGCGGGCGCGGAGGTCACCTCGAAGTTCCTCGAGGACCCGGCGACGCAGAAGGCGCTCAAGGAGGCGGGCGAGACGGCGGCGAAGGTCACGGCCGACGCGGGCGCCGCCGCGGGCGAGGCGGCCTGGGCGCTGGCCAAGGGCATCAAGGACGGCAGCGTGCAGCAGTCCGCGGCGAACACGGCCGACGTGCTGTCGCTGCCGGCGCGCATCGCCGCCGTCGCGGCGACCGACGGCGGCGACCTCGGCAAGGCCATCGACGAGTGGTCGAAGCTCCCCGGCGTCAAGGAGCTGAGCGCGACGTCGGGCAAGACGGCGGCGGAGCTGAGCGCCGCCGCGCTGTCGTCGGCGAACGCGGCGCTCGACGACGTCAAGAAGCGCGCCCAGTCCGGCGAGCTCGCCGAGGACGCGAAGAACGTCGGCAAGGTCGCGGGCGACGTCTCCAAGACCCTAGGCCTCGACAGCGCGTCGGGCAAGGTCGCCAAGGCCGTCGGCGACGCCACCGTCGACGTCCTCGCGTCCGTCGTCGACGGCGACGCGAAGCGGCTCGACTCCGCGGGCGCGACGGTCGCGGGCGCGTTCGAGCTCGCGACGAGGGAGGCGCCCGTCGTCTCCGGCTTCGTCGCCGGCGTCGCGTTGTCCTGGCTGCTGGGCCTCGGCAAGGACGCGCAGATCGAGGCCCAGTCGCGCGAGATCGCGAGGCTCAAGAAGACCATCGACGACGTCACGGGCCTCAAGAAGCTCGTCGGCCTCGAGAAGGCGTAACTTCGCTGTGTACTAGACGTTGAAGCTCACGCGGCGGCCGTGCGTCGGTCGAGGGAGAGAGGCGTCGGAGACGCGCGCGGGCCCGAGGAGCGCGTGCGTCGGTCGAAGCGGCGACGCGTCGGAGACGCGGGGCGGTGTCCGAAGCAGGCGGAGCCCGCGTAGGATGTCCGCGACGCCCGCGTCGTCGATGGCGGCGCCCCGGCGCCGCGCGAGCTCGTGGAGCGCGTCCTCGGCCGTGCCGCGGATGAGGAGCTGGTCGACGCGGACCGGCCCCGTCGCGCCGATGCGCCGGGCCCGCGACACGACCTGGAGCTCGTAGGCCGGGTCCCACAACGTCGACAGCAGGAAGATGTGCGTCGCGAAGGGCAGGTTCAGCCCGTGGCGGCCGTCGTGGTGGAGCAGCAGCACGCGGACGTCGCCCTCGGGCAGGCGGCGCACCGCGTCCTTCGCGCCGCGCTTGCGCGCGCGGCCGCAGCGGCCGACGTTCGCGACGACGAACGTCTCGCCGTGCACCGCGACGGCCTCGCCGGGGGCGTAGACCCGGCCCAGGAAGTGGCCCCGGACCTGCTCCTCCCAGACGTCGCGCAGGCCCCCGGCGTCGTCCTCGAGCGACAGCTTCCGGCGCGAGCACTGGCGGCCGCGGTCCTCGTTGGAGAAGCCGCAGGCCGGGCAGGTCCAGCACGAGATCTCGCCGTCGGCGAACTTGCGGAGCTCGTCGGACCGGTACTTGCCCCAGTGCTGGCAGACGGCGTCCGGGCCGAAGCGATGGACGAGCGAGTGGCCGACGAGGTCGAGGATCTGGCGGCTCTCGGCGAAGAGGATCGCGCGCACGGGCCGCGAATCGTCGCCGCCGCGGCGCGCCCGCCGCGCCGCCGCCGCCGCCTCGAGCACGCGCGCGACGTGCGACGCCTTGGAGTGGGCCGCGAGCGAGTCGACGGCGGCGGCGTCGTCCTCGCGCGCGTCGGCGGCGACGACGGCCGCCGCGCCGCGGCTCCGCTTGCGGCGGTAGTAGGCCGCCGCGCGGTCCGCGGACGCGCCCTCGAGGAGCGCGTCGTGCCACTTGAGCTCGACGCCCGGCTGCAGCCAGGCGAAGAACTCCTGGGGGCTTCGCGTCTGCCGCGTCCATCGCTCGTGCCGCTTCGTGCAGCGCACGTTCTCGCCGCCCTTGAGCCAGCCGTGCCAGTGGTGGCACGTCGCCACGTATTTTCGCTCCGCGGGCGACCACGACACCTCGACCTCGTGCTTGTCCGCGTCGTCGGACTCGAAGTAGTCCACGGCCGGGAACGGTTCGCCGCACGCGCCGCAGCCGACGTCGCGCGCGCCCACGCACTCCGGGCACAAAACACAACAGCACGGCGCGACCAGCAGGTAGGATAAGCGAATCCCGCAGACCGCGCAGGCCCGTTCGCTGCGCGCCGTCGCGAAGAAGGCGCAGGCGTCGTCGACCTTGGCCGCGTCCGCGCCCGGGACCTTGCGCAGGAGCCGCCGGAGCTCCTCGAGGACGCCCGCGTGGGGCTGCTTGACCATCTCGCCGCCGCCCGCGCAGCACAGCAAGATATTCTCGAGGGCCTCGCGCGCCTGCTTGCGGTTGCCCGCGTGGAGCAGCGACACGGCGTCGCCGTCGCTCATGTTCTCCCGGTCGTCGACGTGCATCGACGTCAGCAGCAGGTTCGCCTTGACGAAGGACACGTAGGCGTTCAGCGACCGCGCCTCGGCGTCCGACGCGTCCAGCCGCGTCGTCGTCCGCAGGGGCGCGGGGAGCCGCAGGTCCGCCGTCGCGTGGCGGACCATCGCGGACGCGCACGTGGCCGCGAGCGCCGCCGCGGCGGCCGCGTCGGGCCCGCGGACGAGCGGGTCGACGACGGCGCGCCGCCAGTCCGCGTCCGTCGGCCGGGACGCCCAGGGGCCCTCGCCGGCGGCGCGCAGGAGCCGGCCGTGCTGGCGGAGCGCGAGCTCGCCCGACGCCGCCGTCGTCGGCGTGCCCGTCATGATCCACCGCCGCTCGATGCGGAGTTTCGCCAGCATCAGGTGCAGGTTCGTCGCGGCGCCGCTGCCCGCGTGCTGCCCCTCGTCGACGACGCAGCGGAGCCAGGCCGTCGCGAGGAGCGGCGACGCGTAGACGCCGTCCGACGTCCGCTTCGAGAACCGCGAGTCGCGGACGGCCCGGAACTCGCTCGAGAGCCGCTGCTCCGACGTGAGGAGGACGTCGGGCGCGAATCCGGGCCGCCACCAAGGCAGGCTCGCCGCGAGCCGGCCCGTCGACTCGAGGGGCGTGTCGAAGGCGACGCGGCCGAGCACGGGGTGGTCCAGGACCGCGCCGACGCCGGACGCGGGCCCCGCGACGTGGCGCAGGATCTCGGCCTTCCAGTGGTCCAACACCGCCACCGGCGATACGATGAGCGTGCCGCCGCCGTCGACGCACGCGACCTCGCCCGCCGCGCGGCACGCCGACCGGCGCCGGCCCCGTGCCTCCGCGGCCCCGGGCCGCGCGCGGAGCCGCGCGGTGCGCAGGAGCGCGGCGAGGAGCGTGAGCGTCTTGCCCATGCCGGGCTCGTCGCAGAGCAGGCCGCCGCGGCCGAGGCGGCCGCCGCGCTCCTTGCGCAGCATGTAGCACAGGCCGTTCCGCTGGTGCGCGAAGAGCGACAGTGAAGGACGCAAGCCCGGCACGACGCCGCGCGTCGCGACGTAGGTCCGGCGGCACGCCGCGCCGAGCGCGCAGAGCGCCGGCGCCGCGACGTGGTGTGCGATGAGGCCCCAGGCCGCCTCGGAGACGGCGGCGGTGGCGGTGGTGGTCGCCGCGGGGCGCGCTTCGAGGCGCGGCCAGTCGCGCTCCCGCCAGCGCCGGCCGCGCTGCAGGGCCGCCGCGTAGGCCGCCGCGGCGTGCGTCGCCGCGCCGGCGTCGGCTGAAGGAGCGTGCATCTCGACCGCAACGCTGTCCGCGCCGGCGTTGGCCGACGCGAGCGCTGCTGTCGAAACGCTCTCCGAGCGCTCCATGCGCTCCCTCAACGCTGGCTGCTTGAAGCTCAACCTCAGGTCTAAATTCAGTGAAGCGATCAACGTACATCTAGACACGCCCATAGGAAATTAATTAATAAAGATCAATCATCGAATTCCGGCCGGCGGAGCCAGAGTCATTAGTCCTCCATAGAGGCTGTGCGTCGACCGCGCGCGCGGGCGCGGTGTCGCGGAGGTCCGCGGGCTGAAATCACGGCCAAAATTGGGTTATGCTCGTATCAAAGCAAGCTTGATGATACTCACGCGTTGATTGCACGTTTGCGAAGACTTTTTGCGCGCGGTCGCTGGTTCGGGTCAAGAAATCGCAATATTTAACTTCAACAAAAGTGCTGAAGTTCAACAAAAATGTTGACTTTTAAATCCAGGCTATCAGAATCTGAGTTTTGATCGCTTCACTGTCTAAATTACGCCGCCTTGACCTCCTCGTCGTCGTCGGGCCAGGGGTCGAGGGGCGACCGGTAGCGCCCGCAGTTGTCCATCTCGACGCCGGCGTCGTCGTCGTCCGTGACGTCGACGGTGCGGTACCGCGTGTCGGAGCCGCAGCGGACCGCGGAGCGGCGCGCCCGGCGGAGCGCGTCGCAGCGGACGCCGACGGTCGCGGCGACGGCCCCGGCGACGAGGACGACGATGGCCGTCTGCCACTTCCAGAGGCTCGAGGCCCCGGCGCCGGCCGGGTCCGGCGCCGCGGCGGGCGCCGCGCCGCCGTCGCACGCGGGCCCCGAGAAGCCGCGGTCGCAGTCGCAGCGCGCGCCCCAGGCGGCGTCCCAGACGCAGTCGCCGTGGCCGCCGCAGACGGCGCCGGAGGCCGCCCGCGCGCAGGCCAGCGGGCAGCCGTGGACGGACCGCAGGGCCACGGAGAACGCGCACGCCTCGCGCGTCGTCGCGTAGGCCGCGGGGGACGGGCTCGTCGCCGCCTCGTCGCAGAGGACGTCGAGCCGGAACGCCGCCGGCGCGCCCGTCGCCCCGCAGACGTCGCCGCCGGCGTAGTCGAGCGCGACGCCGCGCGTCGGCCGCGCCGCGTCGAGCGGCGACGCCGCGAACGTGTCGTCGCGCGACGCGGACCCGCTGAGCCGCGCGCAGCGCTCGTGAGCGCCGTCGACGTCGTCGTCGAAGACGGCGAAGGCCGCCGCCGGCGACGTCGACGCGGCGCCGTCGGCGCCCGTCGTGTTCACGCACGCGCGCGGCGTCGCGGCGTTCGCGCAGACGTTGAAGATTATCTTTGCGGCGCTGGACCCGTTGGCCTCGTAGTCGACGCTGCCCGTGCGGATGCGCAGCGCGCTCAGGTCGAAGGACGCGCTCAAGCCGCCGACCTCGTAGTCGAGGGCGCAGGACGACGGCGCGTCGCCGAGGCCGTCCTCGCACTGGTCCCAGTCGTGCGTGCACCGCCCCGACGACCCGCAGTAGAAGAACCCCGCCGACGCGCAGCAGCCGTTGGCGTCGCGCACGCAGTCGCTCGGCCCGACCCAGGACCCGCGGGCGATTCCCGCGAGGGCCGTGACGCCGAGGCGCTTCATAGCTCTTGTTTTGCCGCAGGCGATGTTGAATGTGATGTTGCCGCGCATATATATCCCTGACGGCGCCACAAAGTTTCGGACCGCGCCCATTACATCACACAACTCTCTCAAGCCTTTAAAAGTGACATCGTGGGCTTCTGGCCGGCGACATGGAGCTCTCGGACCGGGTGTTCCTGTCCCTGATCACCGGCGACCTGCGCGAGCTCGCGCCCGAGTTCAAGCGCAGCAACTCCAATGGGCGCGTCGGGCTGCGTCCCCACCTTCTTTTGGCAACACATGGATCATCGCCTCCATCTCGTAGGCAACTGCGCGCGCTCTGCGACGCGACGTCGAACCTGCGCGTCAAGTCGAACTGCCGGCGGAGCGAGAGCGCGGCCCATCGCGTGCTCCTCCTCGACAGCCTCTGCCGCGAGGTCCACGGCTGGCTCGCCGCTCCCGCGAGCGACGACGCCGCGGGCAGCGGGCCCGCGTGGGCCGCCGCGACGCGGGCGGGCCACCGCACGGGCCGCACGCTCATGGCCGTCTGCGGTACCTGGCGCCGGTCCGTCGTCGCGAGCCCGGCGTTCTTCGGGCGGCTGCTCGCGCCGGCGCGGGCCCGGCTCCCGGCCGTCTGCGAGCGCCACGGCGCGGCGACGACCTGGCTCACGGTCGACGGCGCCGTTAAGGCGGAGGCGGCGGACGCCAACCCCCTCAGCGTCGACATGGCCGGCGGCGCCGTCGAGGACCCCCTCGCGCCGGAGGACACGGCGGCGCTCTGGGCCGCGCTGCCGCTGCTGCCCAAGCTCGAGCGCCTCGAGGTCACGCGGACCCACTTCGGCCCGGGGACGCCCACGCCCTGCGCCGCCCTCGCCGCGCCGCTGAACCTGCGGACGCTCTGCCTCTACCGCGTCGCGGGCCTGACGGCGGACGTGCTGTCGGAGCTCGTCGCCGCGTGCCCTTTATTGGAAACGCTCGAGATGCACCACGCCTGCCCCTGGCGCAAGCTCCACGCGCGGGCCCTCGAGCAGCGGGGCGGCGGGCCCGAGGACCCGGGCGCCGTCGTCGCGCGCGTCCTGGACGCGGACGACGGCGACGACTCGCTCGCCGCGTGGGTGGCGGGCGCGTCCATGGCGACGTCGTCCGTGCGCACGCTGCGCCTCGGCGACGGCGTCGATGACAGCGCCCTGCGCTGGGTCGCCAACTTCGAGGGGTCGGCCCTCGCCTGCCTCAACGTCATGCACTCGTACGCGTGCGACGACCTTCCCGCGTCGCTGCGCGCGGCGCTCGACGGGCCCCGGCTCCTCGCCCTATCCATCCACGTCGACGGCCGGAGCCAGTCCGCCGACGCCGTCGCACACGTCATCGCCGCGTCGGCGAGCGCCGCGTCGCTGCGCATCCTCTACCTCGCGGACCACGTGTCGCGCGTCGGCGGCGCCGACGCGCCGACGGACACGCTCACGGACGCGGGGCTCTGCGCGCTCGCGGCGGGCTGCGCGAAGCTCTCGCGCCTCGTCGTCGACGACGCCGGCGCCATCACCGTCAAGGGCGCCGTCGCCCTCCTCGAGCACCTCGAGCTCTCGCAGCTCGGCCTGAGACGGTGCTTCTCCGCCAAGTTCGGCGGCGCCAAGCTCCTCTACGACCTCGCGGACCACCGCGGCGTCGACCTCCTCTGGGAGCCCAAGGCGCTCCAGGCCAAGGCCCACACCGCGTGAGCCGCCCGCGCCTCACCCCGACGGCGAAGGCGCGCGCCCGCGGGCCGCTCTCCACTCTGTTTTGTCCGTTGTACCCCGATATCCTCCCAACCCCGTCGCCCCGTGTGCGTGTGCAACCGGATTAACATTGTGTCGTTTTGACATATCCCGCCGGCGGGATATGTTAGTTTCTATGGTGTGCTGCCGGGCTTCGGCTGATCGGCTGGCGGACCTCGGGGCCCGCCTCCGCGGGAAGCTTATCCTTCCGTTTCGGCGACCCCCGGCCACGAATGGGAGTTGAGGTTTGCTCTATCGACGAAATTCCCCATTCGAGAGCCCCTGAGGGGAACGTCTCTTCGATCTGGGGCTGCCATGGAGTCGTCGCTCCTGAACCCGCCGGACGACTGCGGGACGCGCCTGAGGAGCTGGTGGACCTATGTCAAGTCCACGGGCGTCGTCACGCTGGCCTTCTGCGGCATGGTCGTCATCCAGGTCCTCATCCTGCTCTTCAAGGAGGCGTCGCAGAGCGACGACGGCTACGGCTACAACCCGGCGAGCGCCATCGCCATGGCCGAGTTCGGCAAGCTGTGCATCTCCGGCACCATGTGGGTCATGACGCGCGAGTCGACGCCCCTGCTGCCCGACGTGCCGAAGGAGCTGCCCTACGCGACGATCGGCCTCGCGCTGCTCTACGCCGTGAACAACCAGATCACCTTCGTCGTGCTGACGATGACGAACGCGGGCACGCTGGCCCTGTTCAAGGCGACGACGCCGACGCTCGTCGCCATGCTCCTCTGGATCCTCTACGGCGAGAAGATCAACAAGCTCCAGTGGGCGGCGACGCTCGTGCAGTTCGCGGGGCTCGTGCTCGTGGCCGACGGCATGAGCGACGGGAGCGACGACGGCGGCGACTCGTCGAGCGTGCACGCGCTCCTGGCCACGACGACGTGCCTGACGGGGCTGTGCAGCGTGTGGAACTCGAAGGCGCTCAAGTGCCTCGACGTGCCCATGCCCGTGCTCAACATCTTCCTCTACACGGGCGGCGTCGTCTTCAACTTCATGATCTACGCCCTGCGGCTCGCCTTCAGCGACCAGGACGACTTCTTCGCGGGCTACGCGGACAACCGCTTCGCCATTTTGGTCGTGCTCTCGAACTCGGTCGTCGGCCTCGCGATCTCGACGCTCTACAAGTACGGCGACGCGATCATCTCCCGCTACGCGTCGGCCGTGTCCGCCGCCGTGCTCCTCATCATCGACGCCTACCTCCTCGGCGACGCCGTGACGAAGTACACGTACATCGGCGCGTTCGTCGTCCTCGTCGCGGCGGCCATCTACCTCGACATCGCGATCAACATGCCCGCGGCGCCCTGGCCCTTCGACTTCCCCGGCGCCTACGCCGTCGCGCGCACGATGTCGTCCGACGACTTCAGCCAGCGGTTCAAGTCCATCTCGTCGAGCGACGACCTCCTCGCGATCATCAAGGAGAACGAGGACAAGCTCAGCCGGCCGGCCCTGCCCCGGCGCCACAAGGCGGGCGACGACGGCAAGCCCGCCTCCGGCGCCTACCTGCCCTTCGGCGCGGCCATGGCCAACGCGCTCTCCTACGTCGCCGGCGTCTGCGTCGTCGCGCTCGTCGCGTGCAAGGTCGCGGGCCACCGCACGCTCATCCTTAACTTCTAGCTTCTCCGGGACAGCCGAATTGTCGTGTTACTCCGAGGGGACGCGGGGGGCGGCGCGGGGGGACGGGACGGGGGGGCGGCGCGCCGCTCGAGGCGGCGGGCGGCCCGATTTCCGCTCGATTTCCGTGACGGTCGTTTTTTTCTTGGCGGCCTACTTCTTGCCGAGCGTCCGCTTGACGATGGAGATGACGTCGACCTTCTCGAAGCGCTCGCGGACGTTGCGGTCGAACTTGGGGGGGTTGACCTTCATGAAGCGCCACGCGACGGCCATGGACGAGCCCGTGAGCGCCATCCAGACGACGGACACGGCCGACGGCACGCGGCAGGCGAAGTCGCCGAAGTGGAGCTTGGCCAGGAGGAACCCAAAGGCCGACGACTTCATGGACGTCTCGATGGCCATGGTCCGGCTCGTCGTCTCGCCGAAGCCCAGGAGCCGCGAGAGCCAGTAGCCGACGACGCCGCCGACGAGGTGGATGAGCATGACGGGCACCTGGAGCGACAGGCCCGCGTCGAGGATGGGCTCGGCGACCTGGCCCACGGCCGCGGCCACGAGCAGGCACGTCGACACGACGCCGACGACGGGCGTCGCCGGCTTGATCGCGCTCACGAGCTTCGGCGCCTTCGCGTTGAGCGTCATGCCGAGCACGATGGGCGCCAGGACGACCTGGAGCGTGGAGACGACGATGCCCCGGGCGTCGACGGGCACGACCGTCCCCAGGAACGCCTTGCAGAGGAAGGGCGTCATGAAGATCGCGCCGATCGTCGTCGCCGTCGTCATGAGCACGGACAGCGCGACGTTGCCCTTGGCGATGAAGGTGCACAGGTTCGACGCCTGGCCGCCGTTGATGCTCCCGACGAGGACCATGCCCGCGACCATGGCCGGGTCCAGGCCCCAGAGCTTGCCCAGCCCCAAGCCGAGCACGGGCATCATGCCGTAGCAGAGCGCGAAGTTGAGGAGCACCGCGTTGGGCCGCGTCGCCACGCGCGCGAAGTCCTTGGGCGACAGCGTGATGCCCATGGACAGCATGAGCACGGCGAGGCCCGCCGTGAAGTACTGCGTCGTCAGCCACGCGAACGCCGCCGGGTCCGCGAGCGCCCACCCCGTGAAGAGCACGGTCCACACGGGGAAGAGGTTCGTCAAAGCGCTCGACACCTTCGTGTAGGTCTCGAAGAGCGTCGCTTTCGGCGCGTCGGCCTCGGCGGGGATGGACGCGGCGAGGGCCCGGGACCGCTGGGCGCGGCGCAGGGGGGTGGCCAGCATGGTCGGGCGCGCCGCGGCGACGCGCTGCAGCGACGGCGCACCGAGGCGCACCGACGGCGTCACGAAGGCATGGCTCCCGGCGGAAAGCGCGACGACGAGGGCTGCGGACCGCATGGCCGGCGGGCTTTTTCGTACTGCGACGAGGCGCGGAGGCTGTTTTTAGCCGACAGCAACTCGCTGCTGAGTCGCCGACTTCAATCCGAGCAGCATCATTGCCGCCTCCTGGTCCGGGACGTCCTCCCGCGTTGCAAAATCGCCATGGAGTCGAGGAAAAAGCTCTACTACGCGGGCGGCGTCGCCGCCGGCGCCTACCTGCTGCTGAGACGCCTCGCGAAGAAGCGCGGCGTGAGCGTCGCGGCGTACGTCGGCGTGCAACGGGACCTCGCCGCGCTCGCCATCACCGCCGAGGCGGAAGCCCAGGCGACGAACCCGCTCCCCTCGTACGAGGTCGGGGCGCGCTGCCGGCGCTTCGGCGAGCTGCTCTTCCTGTTGTCCATCGAGCGGGACCGGCGCTTCGAGGTGCTCGAGGCCGAGCGCGAGTTCCCCGGCGACGCGGACGCGATCTACCGGCTCCACCCGCTCGAGCACGTGCGGACGCAGCGCCAGATCGCCGCGAAGAGCGAGGCCGAGGCGCGCGCGGACATGATGGAGAAGCGCATGAAGGCCGACGCGTCGCCGGAGCTGACGGACCTCGTCCTGATCGGCGGCGGCCACAGCCACGTGCACGTGCTGCGCATGCTCGGCACTGTGTGGAAATCAAATCTTCAACTCGACTTCAATGTGCGCGTAATCGAACGGTTCGGACCAGACTCTTCAGCTGTGCTTCGAGAACTCCCTGAGAGCAATCGATTCGTCCAAAAATCAGCCGAATCGACTTCGATGTGACCGAGCTAGAGATTTCTGAAGTTTGGCCCCGACGTCCCAGCTCACTGGTTGATTTGCACACAGGCTGGGCATGGAGCCGCTCGAGGGCGTCCGGTTGACTCTGGTGACCCGCGACGTGGAGACGCCCTACAGCGGCATGCTCCCGGGCCACGTCGCCGGGTTTTACGACCGCGACGAGTGCCACATCGACCTCAACGCGCTCGCGCGCTTCGCGCGGTGCCGGTTGATCGACGGCGAGGTCACGCGCGTCGACGTGGACGCCAAGGAGCTCGTCCTCAAGGACGCGGCGCGGCCGCGCATCCCCTACGACGTGCTCTCCATCAACGTCGGCATCGCGCCCAAGGGCGCGTCGTCGTCGTCGTCGGCGCTGCTCACGCCCGTCAAGCCCATCGCGACGTTCTCCGAGAAGTGGGACGGCCTGCTCGAGAAGATGGCGGGCTGGACCCTCGACAGGGCGCCCTACGACCTCGTCGTCGTCGGCGGCGGCGCCGGCGGCGTCGAGCTGGCCCTGGCCATGGTCGCGCGCGTGCGCCGGGAGCTCGAGGCGCTCGGCAAGGACCCGGATACCTTCGCGCGCTTCGCGCTCGTCGCGCGGAGCGCGGAGCTGCTCCGGAGCCACGCGCCGGGCGTGCGGGCGCTCATGGCCCGGGCGCTGGACCGGGCCGGCGTGCACGTCCTCTACGGCCACGAGGCCCTCGAGGCCGTCCCGGCGGCGGCCGGCGGCAAGGCCGGGCTCGCGTGCCGCTTGAAAAACGGCGCCGCGACGACCGTGCCCTTCGACGAGTGCGTCTGGTGCACGCAGGCCGCGGCGGCGCCCTGGCTCGGGGCGTCGGGCTTCGGCGTCGACGCGGACGGGTTTTTGAGGGTCGACGAGTACCAGCGGTGCGGCCTCGCGGGCGACGTCGCGGGGACGCGCGCGTCGACGCGCGTCTACGCCGCGGGCGACTGCGCGTCCGTCGACGGCCACCCGCGGCCCAAGGCCGGCGTCTTCGCCGTCATGGCGGGCATGGCGCTCTACGCGAACCTCGTCGCGGACGTCTGCGGGTCGCCGACGCTCGCGCACGTGCCCCAGACGTCGTTCCTCGGCTTGCTGGGCACGGGCGACGGCGCCGCCGTCGCGTCGCGGGGCGGCCTCGCCATCGAGGCGCCCTGGCTCTGGGACCTCAAGGACTGGATCGACCGCAAGTGGATGTGGCAGTACACGAAGGGGCTGCCCGACCTCTCGGAGCGGGACGGCGACTTCCCGCCCTTCGCGGCGGCGACGAAGGCCGGCGGCGACGCGCTCGCCGTGCTCAAGGCGGCGCCCATGCGCTGCGGCGGCTGCGGCGCCAAGGTCGGCGCGTCCGCGCTCACGCGCGCGCTGGCGAACCTGCCGAAGTCGCTGACCTTCGACAACGGCACGCCGCCGCCCTGCGACGTCGTCGTCGGCGTCGACGCGCCCGACGACGGCGCCGTCGTCGCCTACGGCCCCGAGAAGGACCAGCGGACCCAGGTCGTCCATACCGTCGACTTCTTCCGGTCGTTCGTGTCGGACCCCTACGTCTTTGGGCAGATCGCCGCGAACCACGCGCTCTCGGACTGCGACGCCATGGGCGCGCTGCCCGCGTCGGCGCTGGCGCTCGTCGTCGTGCCCTACGGGTCGAACCGGTGCGTCGAGGACACGCTCTTCCAGCTCATGTCCGGCGCGCGCGTCGCGCTGGACGCCGCGGGCTGCACTTTGGTCGGCGGCCACACGTGCGAGGGCGCGGAGCTCGGGCTGGGCTTCGCCGTCAACGGCGTGCCGGACGGCGGCGCGGCCTTCCTGTCCAAGGAGGGCATGGTCGCGGGCGACGCGCTGATCCTCACGAAGCCGCTCGGCACGGGCGCGGTCTTCGCGGGCGACATGCGCGCGCTGTCGCGGGCCGCCGAGGTCCGCGAGTGCCTCGCGTCCATGACCCAGAGCAACCGCGCGGCGGCGACGGAGCTCAAGGAGCACGGCTGCACGTCCTGCACGGACGTCACGGGCTTCGGGCTCCTCGGGCATCTGGCGGAGATGTGCCGCGCGTCGGGCGGCGCGCGCGTGGAGCTCTCGCTGGCGGCGACGCCCGTCTTCGCCGGCGCGAAGCGCCTGGCGCGGGACGGCGTCTTCTCGAGCCTCCAGGACGAGAACCTCCGCGCGAAGCGCGCCGTCGAGAACCACGGCGAGGCCGTCGAGCTCGACGCGGCGGCCTACGCGCTCCTCTTCGACCCCCAGACCGCGGGGGGGCTGCTGGCGACGGTGCCCGCGGACCGCGCCGACGCGGCCCTCGCGGCGATCCGCCGCGTCGGCTGCGCGCGCGCCGCGGTCATCGGCACCGTGGCCGCCGTCGACGCGGCCCACTTCCCCGCGAAGGTCGCCGTCGTGTGACGTGAGTTGGGTGTTCTAAGGCGTCGTGGGTTCTCTTTGGGGGGGTTCTCGCTGGGCGTCGAGGCCGTCGGGTGCCCGACGCGTCACGCATGTCGGCGCGGCCCGATTCGCCGATTTCGAGCGAGTCGCCACAACCCGGAGGTCTGAGGGGAGAGGAGCATGGAGGAGGTCAAAACGAGCGACGGAGACGACGCCCCCGAGCCGGCCTGGAGGACCAAACAACGCGAATTCGAAAAGGTCAAGGCCCGGGCGAAGGCCCTGAGGCTCCGTTTGACCTGCACCATCTGCGGAGAGAAGGCCAAGCTCAATTGTCCTTGCGGCACGACGCAGTACTGTTCGACGGACTGTCAAAGAATCGATTGGCGCGACCGCGGCCACCGAAAGGCGTGCAAGAAGATCCGGGACGAGCGCGCGGCGGAGGCGGCGCGCGCGGAGGCCCCGACGCCCCCGCCGCCGGAGGAGATCGTCTACGGCCCCGCGCCGCGGTCGCACGCCGACGAGGTCCGCGCGCGCATCGCGGCGGAGCACGAGGCCGCCCGGGCGCGGCGCGAGGCGAACCCGGAGGAGCCGGAGACGACGCGGATAGTGAAGTCCGATGCTCAGGTTTTAAACCCAGGTCTTTTGGTCTGATTCCCAGGTTTGATGCTTTTCCAGGTCTTTTTGAGTATGAAACCCAGGTCTTTTGGAGGTCCATTTTTTTTATTATCCCCCCTATATAAATTACAGATATGTTTGCCGCTTGACGACAGGATGCCCCAACCCGTTTGTCCGCAGGAGTGCGCATGCGACGTCTGGGCTGCCCCGACGCCGCCAGAACCGCTATCGGGGCCCATCCCGGGCCAAGGAAGTGCACTGGAGCACGCCAGTGAGTTGCGCCGGCGCTGCCCCATCCTTTTGGCGGAGTACATTCGGTCGATCACTGCGGCTGCGGGCTGCGCGCGCGCCCACTCGATTTCGGGATCCCGTCTATTACCGTCACAGTTTCACCCACTGAGCTAAAATGGCCTTCCCTATGCCGTTCTGTGTCTGATTGTAGGTTCGAATGCCCGCGCGCGCGCGCGCGCGGCGGCGGCGGCGGCGGCGGCGGCGGCGGCGGCGGCGGCGGCGGCGGCGACGACGACGACGACGCTGCTGCTGCTGCTGCTGCTGCTGAAGGTGATGGAGGTGATTGTGGTCCACCTGTGGCCCACCGCCGGCGACCTGGACCACGCCCTGGGCGACTTCTAGGTTTTTTTCGTAATTCGAGGGCCTGGGTTTCAATCCCAGGTCTCTCTTAGTCTGAAACCCAGGTCTGATGCTCGATGCCCAGGTCTCTAGTCTCTGGGTCTCTGATGCCTGACCTTCACTAGACGCGGATGGGGTCGCGGTGCCCGATCTGCCTCGAGGCCTGGGACGTCAATTCGTCGTTGCCAAGGATTCGAAACTGTTGCTGCCGCCAGATCTGCGTGTCATGCGATGACAAAATCTCCTTCGAGGCGCCGTGTCCTCTGTGTCACTCGCCGCCCCTGCTGACCCATGCGGATAGCCTCGCAGCGATCCGTCGCCACGTCGAAAACGAGGTCCCGGAGGCGGTCGCGCACTTGGGGCAGGCGTACCACGACGGGATGTACGGCCTCAAGAAAAGCGATAAGAAGGCCGCGAAGATTTACAAGCGTGCAGTGGAGCTCGGATGCGATGAGGCATTCACGAATCTTGGAAAGTTGTACATGGAGGGAAAGGGAGTCAAGCTGGACAAGAAGAAGGGGAGGCGGCCGTTTCAGATCTCCGCGGACCGGGGCTCCGCGATCGCGCAGAGCAACCTGGGATTATACTTCACACGCGAAAAGGAATTTGGCCTCGCGATCAAGTACTATAAGCTCGCGGCCGCACAAGGCATGACAAGCGCCGCAGACAGCCTCGGGCTCCTCTATGCCGATCCAGATCTGGAAGGAATGGAGTTCGATCTTGACGAAGCCAAACGCTGGTTCTCGCGCGCGGCTGCCAAGGGCCACGAGGGTGCCATCGAGTCGCTCGCGATCATCAATGAGCAATCAGAGTCGCATCCGTAATACTCTCCTCGAGGCCAGGGAGGTCTTATGGGGAAAGCCTGAGGGAGATGTGTGATGATCGCCGAGATTTAACCACAGCGAGATCGTTCCCCCTCCGAGCCGTGCCAATCCTCAACGCGTCGCCGCTCTCACAAGCCCGTCGCGCCGTGAAATTCATGGGCGTCAACGGCCTCTGGCCCCTCTACGACGGCCGCATGGTAACACAGATTCCCCCGAATCGTCGTCGAAACACAACCTCTGATCTAGGTGAAGCCCGAGCGCGACCTGCGGGGCAAGGTCTTCGCCGTGGACCTGTCGCTCTGGCTCGTGCAGGCGGCGTCGTCGCCCCTGCTCAAGGCCCAGCACAAGCACCCGCACCTCTTCCTCGCCTACAGCCGCGCGACGTTCTTCCTCCGCCTCGGCGCGCGGCTCGTCGTCGTCGTCGACGGCGCGCGCGACCCGCGGAAGCGGTGGCGCGGCGGCGGCGACCCGTCGGACGGGAGTTTGGACGCGCGCGCGGCCCTCGACGCGCGGGGCGCCGCCTGCGTCGCCGTGCTCCGCGCCTTGGGGACGCCCGTCGTCTTCGCGGCCGGCGAGGCCGAGGCGACGTGCGCGGCGCTCGACGCCGCGGGGCTCGTCGACGGCGTCTTCACGGAGGACGGCGACGCGTTCCTCTGCGAGACCGCGGCGTCCGAGCATACGTCGAACGATGAACCCTCCCCCCCCCCCGCTCGCAGACGGCGCGCGGTGCGTCGTCCGCCGGGCTTCCGTGTCGGGCGTCGAGAGCGGCGACGCGCGGATCCACCGCGTCTCGGACCGGCCCTGGTCGCGGCGCGACGTCGTCGCGCTGGGCCTCTGCTGCGGCACGGACCTCGACGACGGCGTGCCCCTCGCGGGGCCCCGGGCCGCGGTCGCGTTCCTCGGGGCGTGCCGCCGCGACGGCCGCGACGCGCTCGACGCGCTCCGCGCGTGGCGCGACGAGGCGGAGGCGCCGGACGTAGCGGACGCGCCCGGCGGGCGCATCGAGGCGCACTGCCGCGCCCGCGCCTGGCCGCCGGAGGATCTCATCCGCGCGTACCTCGCGGCGCCGGCTCCCGAGCTCGCGGCGAGCGCCTTCGAGTGGCGGAAACCGAGCGCCGAGGCGCTCGAGTACGCGAACGCCGCGGCCTGCATCCACGGCCACCACGCCCACACGTCCATGAAGTCCGTCGCGGCGCGCGTCTTTTCTCGCACTTTGTCCGAACGCGTCGCGTCTCGCAGGTACGTCACGGCGCGCGTGCGGAACCTCGTCTGATGGATGCGCGCTCGCTCGGCCGCGCGCGTTTTCGTAACTGCGTTCGATTTAATCGAGCATTCTCTCTCCGGGGGGGCAGTGGTTATGTTCATGTTGAAGGCAGGTTCCTTCGTTGAACGCCGCTCTCGATAGGAAGCATGGCCGTCTCCGACTAGCAATGGCGCCGCGCCACATCCGCAAGCAGTCGAAGCAGCCTGCAGCTCACGACGCATCGCAACCACCGCCGGAATCGTTGGAGCATGCAGCCCAGCCGCCGCAGCCGCCGCCGCAAACCCTGGGGCAGCCCGCAGCCCAGCCGCCGCAGCCGCCACCGAAGACCTACGTCGTCACCGTCGCGACGGACGCGTCGTTGCTGGACGTCTACCTGCGCTCCGCCGAACTCCACGGACTGCCCGAGCCCGTCGTCCTGGGCGCGGGCGAGCCCTGGCGGGGGCCGACGCTCGACGAGCGCTTCTGCGGCGGCTTCAAGTGGGTGCTCCTGCGGCGCTGGCTGAAGACCGTGCCGAAATATTGCGATCGTCGTTTTCACGGACGCCTACGATGTCTTCTGGAACGCGCCGCTCCCTTCCAACCTCCTCGACGACGGCGTCGACGTGCTCTTCGCGGGCGAGCCGACGTGCTGGCCCGACCCCTCGCTCGCGGACCGCTACCCGCCCTGCGCCTCGCCGTACCGCTTCGTCAACTCGGGCTGCTTCGTCGGGCGCGCGCGGGCGCTCAAGGCGCTCGTGGCGCGCGCGTCCGCGCGCGACGACGACCAGCTGCTGGCGACGCTGTATTACCTCCGCGACCCGGTCCGCGCGCGCGTCGACTCCGCGTGCTCCAGATGGCAGTGCCTCGGCGGCGTCGGCACTCTCGGAGACGGCGAACTCGCGTGGGCGCCGGGGTCCGACGGCCGCCCGGCGCTCCGCAACGCGCGCCACGGCACGACGCCGTGCGCCGTCCACGGCAACGGCGACGGCGAGCTCCAGGCCCAGTGGCGGGCGCTCGCGGCGATCCACCTGCGCGAGCCCGGGTAGTTACGATACGGGAGAGACCCCTAGAAGTCGTCGCCGCGGGAGACGACCTCCTTGCACGTGGGCCTGAGGAGGACCGTGTGCTCGTACTGGGCGACGTAGGAGCCCTTGATGTCGCAGAGGGGCGGGTAGGGCTGGATGATGCCGACGTCGCAGAGGTTCTTGAGCGCGCCGAGGTACTTCTCCTGCTTGGCGCCGCTCGCGCCGTTGACCGCGGTGGAGCCGCCGTCGTCGCGCTCGAGCCAGCGGCGGCAGAAGGCGAGTGTGCCGAAGGTCTTGTTGATGTGCGAGAGGAGCTTCTTGGCCCGGGGCATGCGCAGGGGCACGTGGGGCGCGTGGAAGTTCTTCATGTAGTGGGAGCACTCGAGGTCCTCGACGACGTGGCCGCGGCCCGTGGAGCCGAACGTCTCGATCGCGTAGAACTCGCCCTCCTCCATCCTCGTCGCGTCGCCGCCCTTGACGATGGGCACGGACTTGCCCGCGTGGATCTGGTAGGGCCCCATGGAGTGGCCGTTGAGGTTGCGCACGCACTTGACGGGCAGCGTCTTGCCGTCGAGCTCGAGCTCGTAGGACTCCATGACCTCCTCGATGGCCTCGCCGATGTCGCAGAGGCGGACGTCGACGCCCGCCTCCCGGATGCCCGTCTCCGTGGCCTGCTTCACCGCCTCCAGCAGATTGTCGTACTTCTCGTCGAAGGTCACGGTCCAGGCGCAGTCGATGATGCGCCCGTCGATCTGCGTCCCGAAGTCGATGGACATGACGTCGCCCTGCTGGATGACCGTCGTGTCGCCCGCGTTCGGCGTGAAGTGGGCCGCGATGTGGTTGATGCTGCAGCCCGTGGGGAAGCCGATGCCCGCCGTGAGGCCCCGCTCCTCGACGAGCTCGCGGTTCTTGTTCTCCAGCTTCTCGCACATCTCCGTCAGCGACAGGCCCGGTTTCACGAACGACTGCGCGTAGCGCCGCACCTGCCGGTGGACCTCGCTCGCGTGGCGCACCTTGTTCCACAGGTCGTCCTGCATGCGCTCCTGGGCCCGCTTCTCCTCGGACGTCGTGCGGTAGGCGTTGGCGCCCTGGTAGTCCTGGATCTCGCCGACGGGGAACCGCTCGAAGAGCTTCGACACGGGGATCGTCGGCGGCTCCGTCTGGCCGTAGCGCACGTAGGAGTCGGTGAAGCCGCCGAGCTTGCGGCTCAACGGCAGCTTGCTCCCCGTCTTCGGCGCGGCCTTCTTCTTCTTCTTCTTCTTCTTCTTCTTCGCGGCGGCGTCGCCGTCGCCGGCGTCGGCGTCGGCGTCGTCGTCGCCGTCGGGCTCGTCCGCGGGCGCGGCGGCGGCGTCCTCGGCGTCGCCGTCGTCGCCGCCGTCCTCCGCGGCCTTCTTCTTCTTCTTTTTCTTCTTCTTCTTCTTCGCCGCGGCGGACGGCTCCGCGGCGGCGCCGCCGGCCTCCTCCTCCTCGTCGGGCGCCTCGTTGAGCGTCATCTCCTCGTCGTCGTCCTTGTCGTCGGCCATCGTGCAATTCTACGGCCTCGGCGCGGTCGCGGCGCTGCTCTCGGGCGCGCAGGCGACGCTGGAGGCGACTGTCTCGATGGCGGCGTCGGCGGTGATGAGCTCGGGCTCGCCGATCTCCATGTCGATGGTGCAAGACGGAGCTCTGCCAGCATGGCGTCTCGTGCGTTGTTGATGTGCTGGCTCGCTGCGGCCAGTGCGCTGCAACCCTCCACGCTTTGCACCAGAGGAGCGCCGAGAGTGCGCGCCGGCGCCGTCGAGGACTGCGACCACGCGGGCATCGACGCCTTCGCCGCCGTGCAGTTTGACGACGTGAAGCAGTCGCTGGGCACGTTCCTCAAGTTCTGGCTCATGGGCGCGCCCGTGCGCGGCTGGCAGGCCCTGGGCGAGATGAAGGCCGCGCATGCGCTGAGCGGCGCGACGGCGGAGATCTTCGTCGACCTCGACGCGCAGCGCGTCGGCGTCGTCGGCGAGGACGGCGGCGACCTCGGCAAGATCGTCCAGCTGTCCGTCTTCTCGCACAAGCTCTTCGACGAGCTGCTGGACATCGCGGGGACGCCCGAGGTCGAGCCGAAGGACCGGCTCTGCTACCCGCCGGCCGCCGTCGAGGCCGCGCGCGCGGAGCTCCCGCTGCCGAAGATGAGCGACGAGTAAGGCGGCGGACCGATGCTTACGACCCCGCCCCTAGAGCGCGGGCGCGTCGTGGAGGATCTCGTCGTCGTCGTCGTCGTCGTCGAGGGCCGCGGCGAACGCGCGCGCGTCCGTCGCGGTCATCTGCTGCCGGCGGACGGCCTCGAGCGCCTCGTCGTCGTCGTCGTCGTCGCGGCCGTAGATGGCCTGGGCCGGGTGGTCGAAGGCGTCGTAGCGGCGGTTCGCGAACTTGCGGCTGTCGCCGCGGAGGCCCCGGCGCGGGTCGCCGCCGCCGCCGCCGGCCCACGCGGACGGCGGGAGCGCGCGGTCGTCGAAGCGCGACGTCGCGAGGCCCGGCGCGCCGAGCGCGCCGCCGCGCGCGCGCACGACCAAATCGTGCTCGAGGCACGACATGCGCAACGCCAGCGCCTTGACCTCGCCGACGTACGCGCGGCCGTGGTCGAGGACCGTGCCGAGCGACGCCGCGCGCGCGTCGCGGTCGACGGCAATCAGCGTCTTCCGCTGGGAGTCTACGCGCGCGTGGATCTTCTTGGCCACGACCAGCTTCGCCACGGCGCTCTCGACGTCCTCGAGCGACATGTCGAAGGCACCGGCCATGCGCCGGAGGCACACGGCGCCGTAGGGCTTGCAGTAGTCCGCGAGGCACTTGTCGCGCGCGAGGGCCCCGAGGTGCGCCGCGTGGGGCCGCAGGGCCGGGTCGAAGCTCAGCTCGTCGACGATGGCGGCCAGCTCGCGCAGCGCCGCCGCGTAGGACCCGGACAACGCGTCCGAGAGGAGCGCTTTGACGCGGGGCAGCGAGGCGACGGCGTTCTTGAAGGCGACGTCCTCGACGCAGGACCGCTTGAGCTCGTCGCGCGGCAGGCTCGCGAGGGCCAGCAGCGCGGCGCAGGCGGCGAAGTCGCCCGGCGGCACCGCGTCGCGGCCTGGCGCCGCGGCGCCGGCCTCGGGCGCGCCGTCGCGGTCGCCGCCGGCGGCCTTCGCGAGCTCGACGAAGGCGCGCGCGGCCGTCGCGTAGGACTTGGACGCGACGGCCGCGACGGCGCCGCAGGCCTGGAGCCGCAGCGCCAGGTCGCGCGCGCCGCCGTCCGCGCGCGCGGACGGGCCGAGCGCGTCCAGCGCGTGGTCGGCCTTGGCGCAGTAGTTGGCGACGTGCGCCCAGTTCTTGAGGTCCACGGCCGCCGCGGCGACGCGGCCGCAGGTCTCGACGGTCCGCTGGGACGACGTGCTGTAGTCGCGCATGCGCACGAAGCACTTGAGCGCGTGCGCGTTCTCGCCGCGCTCGACGAAGAAGTCGCCGAGGCCGCGGTACGCGGCCCAGATCGCGTCCTTGTTCAGCGATGACCGCTTGCTCGCGAGCTCGCCCTCGAGGCGCTCCTGGGTCTCGCGCGCGCGCGCGTCCGACGCCTCGAGCCACGGCGCGTCGACGCCGAGCTTGGACGCGGGGCCGAGGCCGTCGTGCGCCGCGACCGCGTCCCGGTAGCCCGCGGTGTCGAGGCCGCGCTTCGCCTCGTCGACGGCCGCCGCGGCGAACGCGAGCGCTTGCGGGGCGTCGGCGCTGTGCTTGGCCACGAGGAGCAGGCGCCGCACGCGCGCCGGGCGGCTCAGCGTCGCGAGCTTCTCGAGGAAGGCGCCGGGGCCCTCGGCGAAGACGAAGGCCGACTTGGCCGACTCGGCCTTGTCCTTGGCGTCCGTGTCCATGGCGGTGAGTGCGAAGCGGTGGTCGCGGCGCACGTCACGTCGGCGGCGCGGGACTTGGCGCCCTTGACCGCGACGAGCCTCTTCCACGACTCGGCGAAGCGAGCGCGAGCCGACGGGCGCCTGCGGCCTCATCACCGTCGACATCGAGGCTGCCCTGGCGGCGGTGAAGGTGACGATGGTCCATCGTCGCGCGCTGCTGCCGCTGCTCCTGCTCCTGAGATGCGCGCCGAGCCTGCCGCAGGCGTTCTCCCAGAAGCGCGCGACGCGGCGCGCGCGCCAGCGGCGCAAGCGCCGCGACGGCCCGCCGCCGCCGGAGCCGCCGCTGCCGCTGCCGCCGCCGCCGCCGCGGCCCGCGGCGCTCCCGCGCGGCCTCGCGCCGAGCCCGCTGGACCGCTACTGCACGGGCCGGCGGCGGCACGGCGACGCCATCATCTACCTCGGCCAGAAGCAGCACAGCTCCTACGACGCGACGCACGCGAACACGCTGAACGCGTCGATGGAGAGCCTCCGGCGCAACTACGGCGCCGTGCGCGACGCGGACGTCATCGTCTGGCACGAGGGCGACCTGGCGCCGCGCGACGCGACGGCGCTCGACGGCGTCGCGAACGTGCGCTTCTGCCTCCTGACGAACGCTACGGGCTGGGCCGTGCCCGCGCGGTGGGACCCGCCGCCGGAGATGCCCTGGTCCGTGGGCTACCGCCTCATGATCCGCTTCTACGCCGTCACGGTCTGGCCGACGCTGGCCCAGCTGGGCTATAGCTGGGTCATGCGCATGGACGACGACAGCTTCATCTTGTCGAAGATCGACTACGACGTCTTCGCCTCGCTCCGTCGAAGGCGGCTGCTCTACGCGTACCGGGGCCTGAGCGCCGAGTGCCCGAAGCACTTCGCCGACTTCGTGACGTCCTTCGCCCGGCGCGTCGACGCGGGCGGCGACGACGCGGCGTACCTCGCCGCCGCGAAGCGCGCGGACGTCGACGCGGACTTTTTGGAATTCTGCACGAAGTTCCCCAAGCACTGCAAGTCGGAGCAGAAGCGCGCCCAGATCCGCTCGGCGGCGCTGAAGCTCGGCCTCTACGCCGACGCCAGCGGCGCGCCCATCGTGCCCCAGGCCATCGCGCACGGCATGCCCTACTGCCCGGCGCTCGGCCAGTTCGGCTACTACAACAACTGGTTCGTCACGAAGCTCGACTGGTGGCTCGGCCACCCGGGCGTCGGCTCCATGATCGCGGCCTTCGACGAGAGCGGTCTGATCTTCACGCACCGCGCGAACGACCTGATTTTCCAGACGGCCGCGATCCGCCTCTTCATGCCGCCCGCGCGCCGCGCGCGCCTGGTCGACTTCACGTACCAGCACCACACCATGCGCCACGGCACCGTCAACTACGGCGGCGTCGAGAGCGGCACGCGCGACCCCGACGCGGCGAAGACGCTCGACGCCTACGCGCGCCGCTTCGGCGGCCGGCCGCGGCCCTGCGACGTCGTGCCCGCGGCCGGCGCGCCGCCGGAGCGCATCTTCATCGTCCTGCCCAACGCCGAGGCGGGGGCGCCGGCCTGCCAGGACGACGGCACGATGCCCTTCTTTTAAGATGCGCCCGTGTGGGCAACGGATGATGCCTCGCTCGAGCCGCACGCCGGGGCCGGATCGGCGCCCCGCGCCCGACTGCACGGCCTCACCGGCTCCGAGTCTTCAATCTGGTTCAACGACCTGTGCTCCATCGCTCGCTGTCGAGGATACGAGGCGCCGCGCCCCGTGGTCCCAGCTACTCGCTCAGCGTCTCGTAGCGTTCGAGTCTACGTCCCATAGAAGATGGCCCTCAAGCGCATCAACAAGGAGCTCCAGGCGCGTCGGCGGCGTCCGCGGGCCCCGGTTCCCCCGGCCGAGCGCGGCGCGCGGCGGCCGCGCGCCGCCGGCGATCTCATTTTGAAATTTCCACGCCCACGCAGGACCTCGGCCGGGACCCCCCGGCGAACTGCTCCGCGGGCCCGGTGGGCGACGACTTATTTCACTGGCAGGGTGCGCCGCGGCGCCTCGGACCCGCGCGCGCGCCCCCCCGGGCCCCGCGCGCGCGCGGCGGGCCGGGGAGAACGTTCCGCGCGACCCGCCCGCCGCCTTCGGCGCCCTCCTCGGCGGCGCTCACGGCGGGCGCCCGCGCAGCCACGATCATGGGCCCCGACGACAGCCCGTACACGGGCGGCGTTTTCTTCCTGAACATCCACTTCCCCGCGGACTACCCGTTCAAGCCCCCGAAGGCGCGCGGCCCGCGCCCCGCACGGTTCCGCGCGGCGCGCCGCGGACGCCCCCGCGCCGCAGGTGAGCTTCACGACGCGGATTTACCACTGTAACATCAACGCGAACGGGGGGATTTGCCTGGACATCCTCAAGGATCAGTGGTCGCCCGCCTTGACGATATCAAAGGCGCGCCGCCGGCGTCCGACCGCCGCGCGCGCGCGCGCGCGGCCCGCGCCCGCGCCCGCCCGACGCCGCCGTACCCCCCTAGGTGCTGCTCTCCATCTGCTCCCTGCTGACGGATCCCAACCCCGACGATCCGCTCGTGCCCGAGATCGCGCAGATCCTTCGGACGGACAAAAAGAAACACGACACGACCGCGCGGGAGTGGACGCACAAATATGCGATGTAGTCGATCCCCGCGGCCTCTGATCATACCATCCAAGCGCGAACGCCGCGAGACCTCCCCCGGCGGCGCCGCACACGCCGCCGCACTCCACGCCCCGATCCCCCGTGCAACGAGTCCGACCGGAGTCCCCCGGACCGCGCTAGCCTGGCCACGCCTCGGTGCCGCGCGACCGCCGGCCCGCGGGACTTAATCGTTTTACCCGAGTGTCGGCTTCAGGGGGGGGAGTCGGCGGCATCGCACCCATCGCCTCGCGCGTCGTCGAAGCAGCTGAATAATCCGAGCTCTCAAATTTCGGCTTCAAGGTCGTCTTCAAGCGAGTGCAGCCCGACGAGATGGAGGCGAAAATCTGAGACGACGCAGCCCTCGAGCACGATGCTCAACGAGGTGGTCGGCAAGCGTACGCCGGAGAAGCCCGCCGCGGACGCGGCGCCCGCCGCCGCGGAGCCGGCCGACGACGCGCCGGCGGAGGCGACGCCGGAGACGCCGGAGATGCCTCCGCCTCCGCCGGAGATGCCTCCGCCTCCGCCGGAGACGCCGGAGATGCCGCCGCCGGCCGAGGACGCGCGGTCGTCGACGCCACCGCCACCACGAGGCGGCAAGAGCACGGAGCCCATCGAGCTCCGCAGCGACGCGGCGGACGGCGGCGACCACCGGTGCGAGGCGACGATCCTGCCCGCGGGCGCGACGCTCGCGCGGTTCTGCGTCGACGGCGGCGACAGCCTCGTGCTCGCGATGGACGACTGGACCAGCGACGCGAACCCCTGCATGAACTGCGTCATCGGCCGCGTCGCCGGCCGCTTTTCGCCGACGCTCGACGTCGACGGGACGCGCTACGAGCTGCCCGGCTGCGACGGCGGCGGCGGCGGCATCAAGCCGTCGACGTGCCTCCACGGCGGCATGCGCTGGAACAAGGCCGTCTGGACCGTCGGCGCTAGGGACGCGGCGTCGGTGACGCTCGAGCTCCTCGACCCCGCGGGCCCGTTCCCGGGCGACGTCGCGGCGCGCGTGACCTACGCGCTCCGCGGCGACGAAGCCGGCGCCGAGCTCTGGATGACGTACGAGGCGATGACGACGGCGACGACGCCCATCTCCCTGACGAACCACGCCTACTGGAACCTGTCGGGCGAGCCCACGGTCGACGACCACGCGCTGACGCTCGACTGCGCGCACTATCGGCCCGACGGCGGCGGCGGCGACGGGCTGCCCGGCGAGCGGGTGCCCGTGGAGAAGGGCGGGCCGCGCGACACGGACGGCAAGAGCCTCGGCGCCTTCATCGCGGCCCAGGCGCGGGCCTCGCCGCACTGGCCCCACGGCGAGGAGTTCGAGGTCGACCGGAACGTCGGGCGAGACCCGAACCGCGTCGTCGACGGCCTCCCGCCGCCCGCGGCCGTGCTCTCGAGCGGGGCGCTGATGATGGCCGTCCACACGACGGAGCCCGCGCTCCAGACCTACTACGCGACGCTCCTCGCGGGCACGGCGGGGCCCGCGGGCCCGTACGCGAACCGAGCCGGCGTCTGCCTCGAGGCGCAGCGCCGCGCGAACGCGCCGGAGCGGTGCCTCGTCGCCCCGGGGGACACGTACCGCCAGACGACGGTCCACGTCTTTCGGCGCCTCCCCCTGGACTAGTGGCCGCGCGTAACCCAGCGCGTCTTGTGGTGGGCCGACCGCCACTGCGATGACGCGTCCGCGAAGGTGAGGAACCAGTTGTTCCGGTAGACGCCCGCGCACCGGTAGGCCGGCGGCGTGTTCCAGGTGCCCCACCCGCAGGACTGGGACCCGCGCCGCGTGACCTCGCTCTGCTCGTTGACGTAGTTGTGCGCCTTCTGGTAGAAGTAGGCCCACTCGCGGCCGTCGCGCGTCCGCGGGATGCCGAGCTCGATGAGGTGCTCGTGGATGTGGCTCCGGCAGAGCGCGCAGGACAAATGCTGGCGGAGGAAGAGCGGCAGCGACTGGAGCACCTGGTGCTGGCCCTCGGAGACCGTGTCCGGCAGGTTGAACGTCAGCGCGTGGATCGTCGACCAGATCGACGGGTTCTCGTCGTTGTAGGCGCCGTCGAAGGTGCGCCAGACGCAGGGCGGCGCGTCGCCCTCCGTCGCGTGGTTCGGGTCCGTCGGGTTCCGCCACTCGGGGCCCGTGCGGTTCCGCTGGAAGTCGGACAGCGAGTCCGTGTAGTTCGACCAGGTGCAGCACTTCTCGTCGAGCGTCTCCTCGAAGGTCAGGTTCTCGAAGGGGCCCCAGAGCTCCTCGTTCCAGAGCGCCGCCAGCATGAAGTTGGCGCCCTCGCGGACCTCCGCGCGCGACGCGCCCTGCGGCAGCTGGTGGCCGACGCCGACGGCCCGCCCCGTCGTGTTGCCGAGCAAGTTGCGCGCGCCCATGCGCATCCACCGCTTCCCCCAGTGGCGCATCATCGCCGGCGACGGCACGTCGTGGCCCTCGGGCAGCGTTCGCCGCGGCACGCACGTCGGCGGGAGGCTCGGCACCAGGGACCCCGTGCACACGAGGCCGCTCGTGACGTCGCAGCGCGTCGTCCGCTCCAAGTACTCGCCGAGGGGCACGCCGGGCATGGACCCGCTGTAGAAGGCGTCGGCGCCCAGGCCGTGGATCTCCGGCGGGTTGTCCACGGCGAAGGTCTGCGTGCAGCTCTCGCAGATGTCCTGGTAGACGACGCAGCGGCCGATGGTCGTCCGGTCGCTCTCGCTCCAGGACTTGCGGTCGTTGAGCTGGCACCACTTGCCGTCGCCGCAGGAGCCCGGGTTCTCGAAGCAGTCCGGGCTGTCCGGCGCCGCCTTGCAGCAGCCCGTGCCGCCGCCGCAGTCGTCGCAGACCTCGAAGGGCCGCACGCCGCAGACGTTGGGGTGCTTGAAGCAGTCGTCGTCGCAGGTCGCCACGGCCGCGCACAGCGCGACGAGCGCGGCGCGGCCTCGAATCGAGGACATGACCGCAGGATGGCTGCCCCCACTCGAACTCGAAGACGCACGAGAAAGCGCGAATGAAAACGCGGCTCAAGACGGCGGCATCATTAGCTTCAACGAGGGGGACGACGAGCCGAGCGCGCCCGGTCGGTGTGCTCTCGGCCCCCAGGGTTCACGCGGCGCCGAAGGGGACCGGGTCGGGCCCGGCGACGCCGGCCTCGCGGTCCGTGAAGACGCCCGCGAGGTGCGCGACGTCGACGTCGTCGTCCGTCGTCTCGGCGCAGACGTCGGCGACGTCGCGCACGACGCGGCGGAGCGTCTTCCACTTGGCGAGGGCGGCGTCGTGGGCCGCCTTGGCCTCGGCGAGCCGCCGCGGCTCGACCCAGGTCCGGCTCGCGAGGACCTCGACGCGCGCCGCGAGCTCCGCGTCGCGGCGCTCGGCGCCCGGCGCGTCCGCGGCGGCCGTCGCCGCGGACCGCAGCGCCGCGTCGAGGGCCGCGTTCGTCGGCTCCCTGCCCAGCGCCGCCGCGCGCCGCTCGAGCTTGAGCGCCTGGACCTTGAGCGCGTCCGCCTCGACGAGCATCTTCGGCACGTCGTCGAAGACCATGTCGCAGAGCTCGTCCGGCGCCGGCGCGCCGTGCTTCGCCGCCATGGCGTCGGGGTTCGCGTAGTAGAGGCTCACCTTGCCGTTCTGGTACTGCTTCTCCGCGACGATTCCGGCCGCGACGAGCCGGTTCAGCGCGAGCTGGATGTTGCTCTTGGACACGATCTTGCGCGTGTTCTCCCAGAGCTGCGTGCAATTGCAGGGCCGTTGGAAGCGCTCGAGGTAGTCCCGCACGGCCGCCTCGCCCGCGGCCTCGGCGGCGGCGCCGCGGATGGCCTTGGGCTTCGACGCCTTGTTCGATGGTTTGGACGCGCCGCCGGCGCCCAATTTCGCCTTCTTCGGTGCCGGCGGTTCCATGGCTCGTGCGCGGGCGTGCGGACGACGACTGGAGCGGTTCTGGTGAGACGCCTGGTGCGCGCGACGAGCGTCGAGGCGTCGGCTTGTGAATCGGCAGAAATGCCACAGCCGATCGGCCGAGGACGCCACACCGGTGCGCCAGCATCCGCGTCCTTCCGCAGCAGCGCGTGCGCCACCGGGGCCGTCCCAGCGCCCGAGCCGCCGGCTCACCGCCCGCGCCCGCCAGCACCAGCCGCCCGGAGCGCCGCCGCGCCGCGACGGGCGCCGCGCCGCGAGCATGAACGTCTCCGAGGTCTTCGAGGACGAGACGAAGAGCTCGGAGCTGCTCTTCGTGAGCTTCAACCAGGATTTCGGCTGCTTCGCGCGCGCGCCCGGCGCCGCGACCCACGCTTTTCGCGCGCGCCGAGGGTTTCCGCGCGCGCGCGCGGGAGGTTTTCGCACCGCCGTTCTCCAGGTGCGGCACCGAGTCCGGCTTCCGGATCTACAACGTGGACCCGTTCAAGGAGACGTTCCGGCGCGTCTTCAGCGGCGGCGGCGTCGGCGTCGTCGAGATGCTCTTCCGCTGCAACCTGCTCGCGCTCGTCGGCGGCGGGCGGAGCCCGCGGTACCCGCCGAACAAGGTCATGATCTGGGACGACCACCAGAACCGGTGCATCGGCGAGCTGAGCTTCCGGTCCGACGTCAAGGCCGTCAAGCTGCGGCGGGACCGCGTCGTCGTCGTGCTGGCGACGAAGGTCTACGTCTACCGCTTCAGCGACCTCAAGCTCCTAGACCAGATCAACACGCAGCCGAACCCGCGGGGCCTGGTGGCGCTGTGCCCCCACCCGTCGAACAACGTGCTCGCCTGCCCCGGCGTGAACCGGGGCCACGTGCGCGTCGAGCTCTACGACGCGCGCAAGTCGACGATCATCACCGCGCACGAGTCGGATCTCGCGCGGCTCGCGCTCAGCGGCGACGGCGCGCTCGTGGCGACGGCGTCGGACAAGGGCACGCTCCTGCGCGTCTTCGACACGCACACGGGCGCCCAGCTCCGGGAGCTGCGCCGCGGCGTCGACCGCGCGGCCGTCTACTCGATCGCCTTCGACGCCGAGGCGAAGTTCCTCGCGTGCTCCAGCGACAAGGGCACGGTCCACATCTTCTCCCTCGGCGACGGCGGCGGCGCGCGGCGCGTCGACGGCGACCCCGCGCCGCGCGCGGCGCCGCCGGCGCCGGCGGCGGACGCGCCGGCGAACGCGCGGTCGAACCTCAGCTTCCTCCGCCGCGTCATCCCGGGCCTCGCGAGCTCCTACCTCGAGAGCGAGTGGTCCTTCGCCCAGGTCCACGGCCTCGACGCGCCGACGCTCTGCGCCTTCGGCGCGGAGCCGGGCACCGTCGTCGTCGTCGGCGCGGACGGCTCCTTCCTCGTGTCCAAGTTCGCGGACGGCGGCGAGTGCGAGCGCGTCTCCTTCGCCAAGTTCATCCGCTCGCCCGACGAGGACGACGACGCCGCCGCGCCCTGGGCCGGCGACAACGCGGCCGAGCCCCCGAAGCCGCCGCCGGGCGCCGCCGCCGCGGACCCGAAGCCGCCGCCGGCGCCGTCCTCCTGAGGGCCGCGGCCAGCGGCGCGCCCGGAGCCTGGCCGGTGGGGGGGCGCCGACCGTCGTAATTTTCTCCCGCTCGCGGGGCGTCGCCGGCGCGCGAGGCCATCGCGTGCGGGCGGCGGCGGCCCTCGCCGGGGCGCCAGGTGGGCTAGGCCGCGAGCACCAGCGACCGCACCGTCGCGCCCCACGAGGTCGCGCGCCACACGACCCCGAGCGCTGCGTCACCGGCGAGCTCGCGCACCACACCGCCGCGCACCGCGAGCTCACACCGCCGCGCACCGCGACCGCTCATCGCGCCGCCGCGCCCGCGCCGCCGCCGCCGCCGCCGCACACCATGGCCGAGGCCATGGTGAAGAAGGAGGCCATGGCGCCGCCGCCGGCGAAGATCCGCAAGAAGAACACGGCCGTGTGCTGCCCCCTCGTCTACGGGTCCGTCGCCTTCTGGCTCGGGCGCAAGGCCGACGAGTACCACACGCACAAGTGGACGCTCTTCGTCCGGGGCCCGCACGGCGAGGACCTGGGCTACTTCGTGGAGAAGGTCGTCTTCAAGCTCCACCCGTCCTTCGCGCAGCCCGTGCGCGAGATCCACGAGCCGCCCTACGAGGTCACGGAGAAGGGCTGGGGCGAGTTCGAGGCGAGCGTGCGGGTCCACTTCCGCGACCCGTCGGAGCGGCCCGTCGAGTTCAGCCACGTCGTCAAGCTCTACGACGGCACGACGCCCCAGGTCGCGACGCAGCCCGTCGTGAGCGAGGTCTACGACGAGGTCGTCTTCACGGAGCCCCACGAGGCGCTCTACGACCGGGCGATGGCGCGGTCGGGCCCGCCGCCCGCGGGCCACCCGCTCAACGAGAACTTCTCGCGCTTCGACGACGCGCCGGAGATGGAGACGCTGCTCCGGGCCGGCGAGTACGTCCGCGGCCAGCTCCACTCCGTCAAGGACGCCATCGCGCGCCTCGACCACCAGATCGGCCTCGCGCGCCAGATGGAGCAGAGCCGCCAGGCCCAGGAGCAGCACGCCGCGCAGCAGGCCCAGCAGCAGGCCCAGCAGCGCCAGGAGAGCCGCGCCTCGAGCCGCAAGCCCGCGAGCCCGCGCCGCGCCGCGGACGCGCCGCCGGACGCCGCGGCGCCGCCGCCGCCGAAGCCCGCCGCCGCGCCGCCGCCGGCCGCGTCCTAAAGCATCATCCCTACTTACTCCGACGCCGTGTCGTCGTCGCGGGGGACGAGGTCCACGACGGGGAAGTCGTCCCCCGGGGGCTTCGCGACGTCGGCGGCGTAGTCGGCGGCGTCGAGGAGCGGCGGGACGTCGTCGAGCGAGTCCGCCGCGGGGAGCGGCCGCGGCGGCGGCTCGAAGGGCAGCTCCGCCAGCACCGCGCGGAATTTCGCGCCCTCGTGTTCGCGCGCGTCGGCCTCGTCGCGGAGGAGCGCCGCGAAGATCTCCGCGCGCGTGCGGTTGAAGTCGTCGAGGTGGCCCGCGACCTCGCGCGTGAACCGGAGGCGCGCGCCGTCGGCGACCTCCTCGAGGCCCCGCGCGGCCTCGGACGACTCGCGGAGCGCGGCGTCGTCGGACTCGAAGCTCGCCGCCGCGACCTCGACGGACGACGTGAACCGGAGCGCGTACTCGACGAAGGTCGCCGAAGAGCTCCGGGGCCCGTCGTCCTCCGTGTCGTCCTCGACGGCGGCGACGCGCCGCGCGGCGCTGTTGAGCCGCCGCGACCGCGTCGCGTGGGACGCGCGGTCCTTCGAGGCGGCCTTTCGCGCCGCGAGCGCGCGCCCGCGCACGCGCTCGACGGCGAGCGACGCGACGGCGACGGACCGGAGGTAGCCGAGCGCGTCGTCGAGGCGCGCGACGACCGCGGCCATCCCCGTCAATGCCGCGCCCGGCCGCGGCGGCGGCGGCGGCCGCGCGATCTTCGCGAGCGCCTCGGGGCTCACGAGGTCCTTGCCGAAGAAGGGCGACGCGACGGCCGCGGCGAGCGCCGACGCGCGCTTCGCGTCGGCGTCCGACGCCGCCGCGGCCGCGGCCCGGGCGCCGCGGAGCAGCTTCTCCTGGTCCTTGCGCCAGGCCAGAATGTCCGCGATGACCTGGCCGTTCTCGCTGTCGGGCGCGCGGATGCGCCCCTCGTGCATGGCGAGGCGCGTGCCCAGGAACGCGCCGTCGGCGTCGTCGCCGTAGCCGAGGAGCGCGTCGCAGATCGCCGCGAAGGACCCCGCGTCCAGCAGGAACGCGACGAGCGCCTTGGATCGCCGCAGCTCCGCGTGGCGCGCGAGCGCGCTCCCGAAGGCGCCCGCCGCGCGGCCGCAGCCCGCCGCCGCCGCGAGGCCCAGGGGCGGCACGATCGCGCCGGGCACGTCCTGCACGAGCGCCGCCGCCAGCCGCCGCAGCTGCGGCGCGCTCCGCGAGCAGCAGCCCGTCGTCTCGTCGCCCTCGAACGCGCACGCGTACGACACCTCATATTCATAATCGCCGAGCGCGTCGTTCTCGACGAGCAGGTGGCGCCGCTCCCCGGCGCCGATGGACAGCGCCGTCACCGTCCAGCCGTCGAAATTCGCCGCGGCGACCAGCCGGCTCGGCGTGCCCAGGCCGTCCATCATGCACGACGTGACGAGGGACGTCATCGTGGTTTTTGGTGCGCTTGGCGCGACGCTGCGACGTTTCGGTTGCGACGACGCGATCTGTGGCGACCGGGTTTTGCCACAGGGAAAACTCGCTTCACGCATTATTCAAGGTCGCGTTGTTGAACCAAGCTATGGGCCTGTAGCAGCCCCCTTGCTCGTGCGTGCCGCACGACGCGGAGCACAAAAAATAGCTAGACCATGAGCAGCTTCAAGGACTTTTGCAAAAAGCGGCAGGCGAAGAAGCTGGGCCTCGACGCGCCGCCGCCCGCGCGGACACCGGCGCCGCTTACGCGGAAGTCGCCGGAGGACTGGACCTGGGCCTTCGTCGCCGACCGCTGCGGCGAGTCCGGCGACGGCCGCGTCTGGCGCGCGGCGCGCACGCACGCGGCGTCGCTGGCCTGCGGCGTCTGGGCCGTGCCCGAGGCGTCGCGGCCGCGGAGCGGCGGCTGCTGGTGGGTCGTCGGCGCGCGCGCGTACGTCGAGGGGGCCATGGCGCGGTCCGGCGCCCTCGCCGAGGTCTTGGACGAGCTCCTGCCCTGGGACGCGAGGCCCACGGAGGTCGTCCTCATCGGCCCGGAGATGGACGGCGACTGGGCGCTGCCCGCGGCCGGCCGCGTCCGCGTGCGCTCCGTCAAGGACACGCTCGACGCCGCGCTCGCCCGGGGCGCCGTCGCGCGGGACCCGAAGCCGTCGGGGGTCGCGCTCTTCCAGGCGGGCTTCGGCACGCTGCTCTTCCCGCTCGCCGAGTGCTGGCTGGGTACGTTGGCGGAACTCCTCGCGCTCGACGTGCCCGTCTTCAGCGCGCACTACGCGCCCGAGTCCGAGGGCGAGCGCGTCGTGCTCTGCGAGAAGTTCGGCGCGAAGCTCCTCGTGCCCGGCGTCGGCGCGCGCGACTGCCCCCTGGGCCACGCGTGCCCGCGCGAGGCCCTCGACGGCCGCGCGGGCGCGGACTGGGCCAAGGGCCCGTCGAACGCGCGCTTCTGGTGGGTCAAGGGGTCGGACAAGGCGGGCGCCGAGCTCTTCGAGGCGGCGCCGGGCGACGCGGCCCTCTTCCTGCGGCGCTGCGCCCACATCTTCGCGCCGCGCGACGCCGGCGACTGGGCGAAGCTCCTGGTCGACCGCGAGCGCGAGCAGGTGCGCTGCGGCGCGCTCCTGCTCGCGGAGGCGACGACGCCGACGGAGAAGCTCGACGACGGCTCCGACGACGGCCGCGTCGAGCTCTTGCTCGAGGTCAAGTGGCCCCAGGTCCGGCTCAGGGCAGGACAAGAGAGCGAAATTCCAAACTTCAAAGCCTCATATCTCGGCCGTTTTCCACTCGTTTTGGCTGATTTTTGGGCGAGCGATCATCTCTTGGAACGGTCTCGAAGCGTGGATGCTTTTTTTGGAACGCGCGCGCGCGGAACACTCACGTTGAAGCGACGTTGAATCACCCTTGTCCTGCCCAGGTCCGGCTCCTCCTCAAGGCGCTCCTCGACGCCGAGGCGGGCGCCGAGGCGCCGCTGGACAAGCCCGCCGGCGCGGCGACCTACGCCTCCGCCGTCGAGGACGCGGGCGCCATCGCCGACGCCGCGGGCCGGGCCCTCGCGAATTTGGACCGCGCGCGCGCCGTCCTCGATGCGGTAGAAGAGTGGCCCGCCTCTCGGAGCGCGCGGCGCCCGCTCGACCCGCCGCGGGCCTACGTCGCGCGGAACGAGGCGCTGGACCACGTGCCCGTGCGCGCGCGGCCGAGCACGAAGGCGGACAAGGTCGACCGCCTGCCCATAGGCGCGACCGTGACCGCGCACGCGGCGCTCGGCGCGTGGCTGTTGGTTTCTCGCGACGAGGAGCGCTGGGTCCTCTCGACGCACCCGCTCCTCGGGGCCCTCCTCGTCGACGCCGACGCGCCGCCGCCGCCGCCGAAGGGCGCGACGCTGGCGCGGCGCCAGACGCCTCGCGAGGCGTAACAGATCGTGGCTTGAAATTCAACTTGAACTCAAGCGGCTACAGGTGAAGCGCGCCGAAGACTGTGATCAAGAATACTCGGCCGCGCCGCCGAACACTCACATCGAGCAGCTCTCGAAGGAACACAGCGTCATGGCAGCCTTGGAGTTCCTGGGCAAGTCCATCGCCGTGCTCTGCGGCGGCACCTCCGCCGAACGCGACTTGTCCTTAAAAGGCGGCGCCGACGTCGCCGAGGCGCTGCGGGCGCGCGGCTACCGCGTCACCATCGTCGACCTGACGCCAGCGCTCGACCTCGTGGCGGCGCTGCGGCGCGTCGACGTCGTCTTCGTCTGCCTCCACGGCCCGCTCGGCGAGGACGGCTCGGTCCAGGGCTTCCTCGAGGTGCTCAAGATACCCTACACCTTCAGCGGCGTCGTGACGCAGAGCGTCTGCGTCGACAAGGTCCGCACGAAGCGCTACCTCCGCGGCTGCGAGCCCGTGCGGCTCATCCCCGACCAGCTGCTCGCCGACGGCGCGCCGCTCCGCGTGCCGCCGCCGTGCATGGTCAAGGATCCCCAGTCGGGCAGCAGCCGAGGTGTGTGGAAGTGCGACACAGCCGATGAGGTCCGCGCGGCCGCGGCGCAGTGCGCGGGCCCGCGGTGCCTCGTGGAGCAGTTCATTTCCGGCGTCGACCTCGTGGTCTGCGTCAACGACGGCGAGGCGCTGCCCGCCATGGAGTTCAAGACGGACAAGGACTGGCAGGACCTCGCCTCGAAGAACGACCTCTGGGGCTGGGCCGGCGCCGACGGCTCCGACGGCGCGCGCGCGGCCATCGAGAAGATCTGCCCGGCGACGCTGCCCGCGGCGGTCGTGGACGAGGCGCGCGACACCGCGCTCGCGATCTACGACTTCCTCGAGGTGGAGGGCGCCATGAACTTCGAATTCCGCGTCACGGTCGACGGCGCCGCGGTCTACTTCGTCGAGGTCTCGTCCGTGCCCGCGATGACGCGCGCGTCCGTGCACGCGTGCTGCGCCGAGGCCGCGGGCTTGTCCTTCGAGGACGTCGCCGAGCGCATCCTCCTGACCGCGCGCCTCAAGCTCGCGTGAGTCCGCTAGAACGCTGAATCGAGTTAGGCGGGCGAGGTCACATGTGGCTGAGGAAGGTTAAAATGCAACAATCTTGGCGCAAGCCCGAGCCGAGATATAAGCTGAGGAATGTTAAAAATCGATGAAATGGCCATACAAACCACAACTTTGGAGGTCTCGTTCTCGGCCCCATGGCCACCGATTCCTTTGGTTCTTGTTGCATCTGAAAGAGCTCAATGTCGTCTTGCGCGCTGGGCCATTAACTCCGAATCTTGAACCGCCTTGAAAAGTTGCATTTCAACGTTCCTCAGCCACACATGTAGCCGCCGTACGCGTCGTCATATTATTATTATTATTGGTGATTTAGCGTCGGAGGAGCCGCATGCCCAAGAGCACACACGGCCTGTAGGCCTCGGACGGAAGAAGTTGAAGTAGGTGGGGCAGCTGCCCCCCAGCAGGGGCCGAAGGCCCACGGGGGGAGGATCAGCCTCCCCGGCGCCACAAGTGGCGAAGCCCCGAAGGGCGAGAAAAAAGGGGGGGGGGGGGGGGGGGAAAACCCCAAAGGCAAGGGAAGGGGGAGGGGGAGGTGGCCGGGGCCGGGCTACCCACCAGGGGCGCCCGACGGCCCCGGACCGCCGCTAAGAGCCGCCAGCTCCGTCAGACACGTCCGCTGCCCGACAGGCCTGCCAGGCCGGCCACCAAAGCTTCGCGGCACATTCCGTCCGAAAGCGCCGCAGGAACTTCGCAGCGCCAGACGCCACGGAAGAGTCGAAATCCGCGACCAAAGCCGCGAACTCCGGAGTAAAATGACCCGTGAGGATCCGATAAGAACGAGTGTAGGCGAGGTCTCCAGTCCCGGAGACGATGCTTCCGTCGTCCAGAAGCGTCAGCGCCCGTCGGAACTTGTCAGCAAGGGAGGCCGCCGAGGGCCCCGGCAGGCCTTCCGTCAGGCGCAGGACCGCCCGCCCACACGGCGACGGGCTTGTCCTTCGAGGACGTCATATTCACACACGGCGGGGCCGTGGAAGGACGACACGTCGTTGACGAAGGGCGCGTCGCAGGAGCCGACGCCGCAGAGGGGCACGTCCGCGGCCTCGGACTCGCGCATGATGACGTCCTTGAGGTGGAGCTCCTGGGGCGGCCGCGCGGCGCGCGCGGACCGCGACCGCGACCGGCCCGCGCGCGCGTGGCGGAGCCGCGTCGCTCCGTGCTTGCGCGGCGGGGGCTTCGTCTCGATCGTCGGCGGCTCTTGCGCGCGGTGCAGGGACGAGCCGCCCTCGGACGCGGCGTCGCCCGCGGCCGCGTCCGGCGCGAACGCGCGCTCGTACGCGTAGACGAGGCGCGACTGCGGGCTCCGGGACTCGTCGCGGAGGACGGGCATGCTCTGGATGAGCGTCTTCACGGCGTGCGCCTCGTTGGCCTCGACGTTTCCGTCGTTGTTGAAGTCGCAGCCCGCGCCGTAGCGGCTCATGAGGTTGTAGGCCATCGCGAGCGCCGCGTGCCGGTCCATGGGCGCCGCCTCCGTCGCGGCGCCGAACATGTGGCCCACGGTGCGCTTCTCGACCGGGATCTTGGAGAAGTAGTGCTCCGACGCGACGCGGATGACGAGCGCGAGGCCGTGGACGTCGAGCGCGAGGAAGCCCGCGTCCGAGGGCGCGCCGCTCTCGTGGACCGCGTAGAGGAGCCGCGCGACGGGGTTCGGCCGCGCCTCGTCGATCGCGTACTGGGCCTGGAGCACGGCGTCGTGGACCGACGGGTCCGGCGCGGGCGCGACGACGGTCCGGCGCCGCTCGACGAACTCGTCGAGGCTCTCGTCGACGGAGATCTCCGCGTCGATGAAGTCGCCGACCCAGGCCTCGAGCACGTGGTGGAGCGCGCCCAGGGGCAGCGCGCGGGGCGCGGGCACGCCTACGAAGCGTGGCGGTAACGATTTCTCATTGTTTTCCCACCCCACATCTCTCGAAAATCGTCACGGCCACAGGACGCTGGGGCACGCCCGTCGCGCCGAGACGCCGCAGGAGGTTGTAGAGGAAGGGGTCGCGCGCGAGGCCGTCGATGTCCGCGCGGACGTCGTCGTACGCGGAGCAGATGATGGCCAGGAGCGCGTTGAACATGATGAAGAACATGAGGGCCATGTAGGACCAGTAGAAGGCCTGCGTGATGTAGTAGGACATGCCCGCGAACCCGAAGACCTCGAGCCCCGCCGCGTCCATGCCGGGGATGTTCTCGAACTCGCCGATGTCGTACATGCCCGCGATGGACAGCATCGCGAAGCCGAAGAAGGACTGGAAGATGCCCGGGATGTCGCCGTCCCCGAAGCCCCTCGACGACTGGCCGAAGAGCATGACGCCTAGAATGGAGTAGAGGAAGGAGATCGTCGTCTGCAGGATGAACCAAAAAAACAACCGCGACCCGGCCTTCTGGATCGTCCGCGTGATGATGCCCATGGACGGGTGGAAGTGCATCAACTTCAAGAACTCGCAGACGATGGCGATGATGAGGAAGAGGGCCAGCAGCTTGTAGAGGACGATGAGCTCGCTGAGCTCGCGGACCGTCGCGAACGCGCGCTGCAAATCTTCAAAGTCCGCGTCGTAGTCGAGGATCCGCGCGCCCGCCCGGTTCCAGGCGTCGCCGCCGTTGTAGACGTCGTAATGAAGGTCGAAGCGCTTCAGCGAGCCCGCCTTGGCGACGACGCCGACCCAGGCGACGATCATGAGCGTCGCGAGGACGTAGTCCGCCGTCGGTAAAAGGCCCGCGTCCGCGACCCTCGCGGCGACGGCCTCGGCGAGGGCGCGCAGCGCCGCGGGCAGCGCGTTGAGGCAGCCGCAGGCCGGCAGACCCGGCCAGTAGCGGACGGCGCCGTCGTCGCCGAGGACCCGCAGCTTCGCGACGCGCCGTCTCGCGGCCGCGAGGCAGCCCCGGACCTCGATGAGGAGCATGCCGCCGAGGAGCGCGACGAAGACGAGCTCGAAGAAGAGGCGCACGGTCGCCGTGGGCGTGCCGTAGGGGTTCGGGTTGATGACGGACACGGTGTACTTGTACTCGACGCCGCCGCCGTCGAGCGACTCGCCGACGATGGACGTGAGCGTGAGGAACTGGGACGAGATCATGCGGTTCGTCGTGATCATGGACAGCTCCACGGACCGCGTGTTGCCGTCGAAGTAGTTGCCGTCCTTGATCAACGTCCAGATGTCCATGGCCCGCGTCCGGTTCAAATTGACGTCCCAGAACACGGGGAAGTCCTTCGGGTACTCGGACGTCGTCGCGTTGCGCCGCATGGAGTAGGTGAACCCGAAGGGCATACCCGACACGGCATCGAGCTCCTCGGCGTCGTAAAAATCGTAGACCTCGTCGATGTTCGACTCGCGGTAGACGTCGGAGCCGGACACGAACGTCGCGTCGACGCCAAAGGGCTCCCGGAGGCCGTCGTCGTCGTCGAGGCAGGGGTCGTAGGCGTCGAGATAGCTCAAAAAGCGGTTGTAGGGCCGCCCCTTCTTGCAGGCCATGGCCTTGTTCCGCTGCTGCGTGAGCAGGACGCCGTAGACCACGAGATTCGGCTTCGCCAGATAGCGCGCGCGCGGCTCGTCCGCGTCGAAGCCCGACGTGAACTGGGTCTTGGACTCGCTCGCGTCCGTGACGCCGCAGGCGGCGCAGCGCTCCCGTGCGAAGGTGTTGTCGACGCCCTGGGCGTCGCAGTCGAACCAGTCCGCGGCGCCGAAGTCCGCGCACGTCCACGCCGGGTTCCGCTTCGGGGACCAATCCGCGTAGCCGTTGGCGTTGGGCAGGCCCACGTCGAGGGAGAAGGGCACGGTGCGGTAGCTGCCTTCGAAGGATGGACAGTCCGGGCACGCGAGCGACGGGACGTAGCGCTCGAGGTCCGCGAGGTCGACGTCCGCGAAGGGGAGCGTCGAGTTGAAGCGGTCCGGCGCCGCGTCCGCCGAGAGGTGCTCCTCGAGGTTGCCCGGCGCGTCGATGACGCCCAACACCTCGACGACGCCCTTCCAGAGCTGCGTCGGCACCTACCACGCACGTCGGTGACGATTGTTCCCCGGTCGAACGCTCTCGAAAATCGTCGCGGCCGCGGGACGCCGGCCGGCACCGTCGCGAAGACCTCGCCGTTGACGACGCGCGAGTAGCGCCACGTGTCGTCCGCGCTCTGGAACCAGGGCACGCGGCAGGAGATGTCGTGGTCGCGGATGCGCGCGTCCGGCGCGAAGGCACCGTCGTCGCAGCAGGCGCCGCCGTCGTAGTTGCAGCCGATGTGGTTGTAGTCGTCGTCGCAGTTCGCGTCCAAGACCGCGAACGCGTCGCAGTCGGCCGCCTCAACCACTTTCCCGCGCTCGAGGGACGACAGGGCGCCCTCGACGTTGTTCGAGGGCACGCCGAAGACGTTCGCGTACCAGGCCGGGTCCTGCATCGTGCAGAGGGAGCCCGCGCAGCCCGCGCACGTCGCGCCGTACGTCGCGTCGAAGTAGACCGCCGCGAGCGTCGCGCAGTCGTCGGCGACGAGGGGCCCCCGGCCCGGCGGCGCCGCGCCGACGAAGGTCGCGTTCTCGTCCTCGTAGGCGCGTCGCGCCGCGGCCGTCGCCGGCCAGACGTCTTCGAGGTCGCTCCAGCAGCCGCCGACGAGCTGGACGTCGTGGCACGCCGTCGAGTCGAGGCTCGGCTGGGACAGCGTCACGGACCAGCAGTGCGTCTCCGCGTCGCCGTCGCCGTAGGCCGGGCAGGTCTTCGTGAGCGCGAGGGCGTCGTAGGAGCCGCTCCGCGTGCAGCCGAGGTAGTCGTCCGTCGGGATCGCGGGCTCGGTCCACACGGACTTCGTGTAGCACTCGACCGCGCCGCCGCCGCCGTCGTCGTCGCCGGCGCCGGCGGACGACGCGAAGGGCGCCCAGAACGCCGCGGCCGCGCCGTCGACGTCCGACAAGTAGTGGCCCGCGTCGTCGTCGCAGTCGTCGACGGCGACGACGTCGCCGCTCCGGAGCCGGAAGTAGCCGAAGAAGGGCGCCGCGCCCGTGAGGGCCGCGCCCCCGACGTCGACGGACCAGGTCGCGCCGTAGGGCAACGCCGGCTCGAGCACCTCGAAGGCGTAGCAGACGCCGACCTCGAGGCACACCGCGTCGCTCTCGTCCCCGTAGGCCACGCCGGTGAGCAGCGACTCGGACGTGTAGGTGTCGACGAGCGCGTAGTAAAGCACGGCGGACAGCGAGCCCGTCGCGTTCACGCGCCCCGGCGCGCAGGCCCCGTCGTCGAGGCGCCGCGCGGGCTCGGCGAGGAGCCGGCGCCGCGCGGCCGCCGGCGGGGCCGTCGGATAGCCCGTCGGCGACGCCGTGGCGCCGCAGGCCTCGCAGGCCTCCCAGGCGACGGCGCCGTCCCAGCCCCGAACGTCGCAGCGCGTCGCCGGGAGCGCGGCGACCCACGCGCAGTCCTTGGCCGCGTCGCCGTTCTTGAACCACAGCGTCCGGTTCTCCGTCGGCGCGGCCGAGGGCACGGGCGTCGGCAGCATGGAGTAGCAAAACCCGCAGGTCAAATCGCAGGCGTGGCTGAACTTGCACTCGGGGCAGAACCGCGTCCGGCACGCGTCCGTGTCGAGCGAGAGCACGACCATGCAGAGGCCGTCGCTGCCCGGCCGGTCCGCGCACGTCGACGGCGCGAGCGTCGGCGCCAGGCTCGGCGCGGTCGTCGACGGCGCCAGCGTCGGCGCCGCCGTCGAGGGGGAAAGCGTGGGTGGGTCGGTCGGCGACGGCCGGTCCGCGCCGACGACGAGGAGCACGAGCTCCGGCGGGCTCGCGTCCGCGGAACTCATGAAGCTCCGGCCGTAGGCGCTCTCCCCGGGCGGCGCGAACCAGGCGCCGTCGGCGTAGCCCACGTCGACGGACCGCACGGCGAAGGCGAGCGAGTTGTTCTCCTGCCAGTCCGCGTCGTCGAGCACGGGCTGGATGAGCGCCGCGAGGTCCGGCGTCCGCCACCGCGCGCCGCCCTCGAGTCGCTCGATCGTTCCGATTACCGACGCGTTCGAGTAAGTTCTTCCGCTGACCAGTCGGGTCGGCAAATTGTACTCCGCCTCCGCGGACGTGTGGTAGTCGCCGTGGACGTCGTAGGGGCCCGAGTCTTCTTCGTCGTCGTACGGCGCCGCGTCCGCGGCGAGCTCCACGCGGAACTCGAAGTCGCTCGCGGCAGCGTCGGAGCGGCGGTCCGGGTTCGAGGCGCTCGCCGCGAACTCGACGTGGGCCCGGACGACGTCCTGGCCCGGCAGGAGCGGGATCCGGGGGAAGCGGAGCGCCGTTGCGATGGGCACGCCGCTCGCGGACGTCGCGCCGAGCTCGACGTCGGAGACGGCGAAGACGTTGCCGTCGGGCGCGTGCTCGACGACGTCGGCGTCGATTCGGCCCAGGGCGATGGTGTAGCGCTCCGCGCGGACGTACTGGACGAAGAGCCGCGGCGCGCCCGCCTCCGCGTAGACGCCCGCGAAGCCCCGGGCGACGCGCGACCCGGCGCCCGCCGACGGCGCGAAGACCAGGCCCAGCGCTTGGCCGGAGCCCCAGCCCGGCCGGTCGACGACCTCCTGGACGAGGTAGACGAGCGACGGCGTGCGCGTCGTCTCGTCCGCGGCCCAGGGCGCGGTCTCGAAGAGCACGACGGACTCCGTCGCGTCGCGGTCTTTCGGCCCCAACGGGTCCGCGCCCCAGCCGTAGGGCAGCGCGTCGTCCGACGCCTCGGCGCGGACGTCGAGCGACAGGGCCCCGTCCTCCAACGCCGTCGACGTGAACTCGACGTAGGCGTCCATGATGAGCGCGCCCTGGGGCACGCCGAGGTCCGGGAAGCGGACGCCCGCCGTCACGGCGTCGCCCTCGTAGTAGCCCAACAACACGTCGGGCAGCTGCGCGTACGTCTCGCCCTTGATCTCCGCGGCGTCGTCCGTGCGGTGCGCCGTCTCCGCGGAGGCCTCCGAGGCGTACTCCGTGACGGACGGCGCGAGCCGCTCGGCCACCGTGAAGCCCTGGACGTCCCACCACGACGCGACGGCCTCGGCGCCCGCGTAGGCCGGGTAGGAGTCGACGACGTACGGCGGCAGGTCGAAGCGCGCGTCGTCGATCTCCGTGGGGTAGTCCGCGAGCGTCCGCGTCGCCGCGAGCGCGTCGTCGCAGGTGTAGACGTCGTCGCGGAACTCGCAGGCGCAGGACCCCGCGTCGGGGCACGCGCCCCAGTGCGCGCACGTCTCGTTCGCCGCGCCGGGCTCGACGTAGCAGACCTTGCCCCGCACCGCCGGGAACGCGACGGCGTAGGGCGAGGCGCGCGTCGGGTGCGTCCAGACGTAGCCCGAGAAGGCGTAGCGCACCTCCCAGTCGCCGCCGTACAAAGCCAGCGTGACCGCGCTGCCGAAGCTCTCGTGCGCGCTGTCGAGCTCGCTGGACCGGAAGGGGAGGCCGTCGACGAAGAAGTCGCCGTCGAAGACGCAGACGGTGGTCGCGTCGACGCCGAACTCCGTGTCGCTGTCGTGGCAGAGGTTCCAGCCCGCCCGGGGCTCCGCGTACTGCCACGCCTCCGTCGAGTAGCACGCGCCGGCGTCGTCGCAGAGCCGGCCCTCCGCGATGACGGCCCGCACGAGGTCCGTGTGCGCCGCGAGCTTCCACGCGTCGTAGAAGGACACGGTGACGTTCGTCGTGAGCTGCGCGCCGCAGTCCGACGCGCAGCCCTCGAAGTCGCGCGGCGCGCCGCCGTCGCGGGACCCGAGCACGAACTCGCCGGGGTCCCAGGAGGGCATCTCGTCCGTCCGGCTGCAGAGCCCGTCGCCGCAGGCCTCCTCCTGGAAGACGGCGTCGATGACGGCCTCGACGCCGTCCACGTAGACGTCCCAGCCGTTGACGCTGCCGGCGATGTCGCCGGGCGCGTCGTTCGGGATGATCTCGCCGCTCAGATGGTAGATGGCGTCGCGCACCGTCGCGTAGGTCACGGTCGTGTTGCCCTCGAAGACGCCGAGCTGCATGGCGATGACCGTGACGATCGCGAGCACGTAGACGAGGAACCGCAGCAGGCGGTAGTAGGACGCGAGCATGACGTCGTCCGTGCGCACGCGCCGCAGGAAGCCCGCCAAGATGCCCCGGGCGACGAGCGCCGCGTCGTCGTCGCCGGGCCGCAGGACCGCGTCCTCCGTGGGGTCGTCGATGAGGGCGTTCATCTTCTGGAGCGCCAGCAGGCTCTTGCGCGACACGAGCCGCGACGTGAGGTGGACGACCTCGGCGGCCGACGCCTTGGGCTTGAGCGGCGCGGCCAGGTCCGGCGCCTTGGGCTTGAGCGGCGCGGGCAGGTCCGACGCGACGTCGCGGCGATCGATACTCGACTCGGCCAGCGGCGAGGACGCGCTGGCCGAGTCGAGTATCGAAGCGAGGACGCCTGCGTCCATGGTCGGCGAGGACGCGGCGGTCGTCGACGACGAGGCGCAGACCCAGGGCTGGATCCTGGGCGTCGTCGCGGGTCGCTCGTCGGCGAGGACGCGGCGGTCGTCGACGACGAGGCGCAGACCAAGGGCTGGATCCTGGGCGCGCTCGCGGTGCGGCGCGTCGCGGCTCTTTTCGAACTCTTAGAATGCAGGAAGCAGCCCCGATTTTTAGGAGTCAACTTGAACTTCAAGCTATTCAAGTTGATGTTTTATTATTATTATTATTATTATTGGGGATTTAGCGCGGAGAAGCCGCATGCACAAGAGCACACACGGCCGATAGGTCTTATTAACATGTTCGACTCGCGCACGTCGCTGCGGTAGACGCTCGCGCATGCGTCGTCGTTGCGCCGCAAAGTGCGGCGGCGCGGTCGCGCGCAGAACTTCGATCACGCGGCCATGGCCGCGAGCAGGCTCAGCGCGTCGCTCCGCGGCTCCGTCGTCCGGCAGAGGGGGCACGTGAGCACGCTCTTGTGCTTGAAGGCGCTATACTCGCGGAGGCACTTGTCGTGGATCGCGTGGCACGACCCGTGGCACGCGAGCAGCTTCGACGGCTTCGCGACGGGCTTCTCGCAGACGGGGCAGTACGGATGCGCGGGAGCCGGCGCGGGCGCCGGGGCCTCCTCGTCCTCCTCGGAGGAAGCATCGTCGTCAGCGCTGTCGTCGTCGTCGGTTTTGCCGCGCTTCGGGTAATAGGCCGGAAAACAGGAAGGGGGCCGCTTCCTGTTCCAGGGCTTGTGCGTCCGCGGGCGCCGCTGGATGGGCTCGAGGCTCGCCACCGCGGCGGCGACGTCCGCGGTCTTGTACGTCCACACGTCGCGGGCCCAGGCCCGGCCGGCGCCCTTGGGACCGACGCCCTCCTGCGGCGGGCTCAGCGCGAGCTGCCGCGGGATCCGCCGCACGCGGGGCTCGTTGAGCTTGTCGGGGTATTGCGCGATGGCGGCGACTTGCGTCAAGCGCTCGCCTCGCAGAACCTCCTCCCATCGGGCTTGCTTCTCGCTGCTCGTTGACTGTTGGCCATCTTCCTCGGCGATGCGCCCCTTGGGCATGACGCGGCGGTCGTTCGCGGAGGACCTGGGGCGGGTGTCGGCTGGCCGGGAGACCGCGCGCGCTGGGGGGGACATTCGGGCGCGCGCGTGTACTATGGGGCCGCCGGTTTCGTTGTGTGCCGCGCGCGGGCGTGCGCGACCGCCGCCCGGAGGCGGCGGCGCTCTCGGCCCGAGGCCGGGACAAGGGGGACGAAAGACTCGCCCCCGCGTCCGGCACCCCGCACGGGTTCGGGCGGGGGGCCTCGGGCGAGACGCGGCGGGAGGCGGCGACGCGACGCGGGACGCCGGAACCGCGCCGCGCTCAGTGCGACTTGCTGCCGCGGATGCGGGTCCGCATGTCCAATTGCGATCGCTTGCACTCGAAATACCTGCGCGCGACCGGCTCCGGCGACGCGCGGCGCCCCCGAGGTCCCGCGCCGGCAGTGCGCGTGTTGCGGTAGACCTGGCAGTCCGGCGCGTCGGCCGCGGCCATGCACTCCTTGGCGCTGCCGCCGGACTTCATGCACTCCGTCTGCTTCAGGCAGTCCAGGAGCGTCTGCGCGATGTCTTTGCAGTCGACCATAGGGGTTTTGTCAACGCATGTGGGCCTAGTTTAAGCTTGGTTTCGTCGGCGTTTGCGGTGGAACTAGGTGGTGCGGTCGCTGCCCATCGCCACTCTAGTGGAGATTTCGAGGTCCTTGTTGAAGAACCACACGATGGGCGTCGCGGATCCGAGGTGCCTGTGCCTCGTGTTCGCCTTTTCCCACGCGTTCATCGTCCCGCATCGAGCCCTGCGACCACCGCAGCTGAAGCGGCGCGCCGTCGAGGACTTCGCCGACACGGAGAGCGGCGGCCCCCTCGGCGTCTTCCTGCGGCGGAATCCGCTCTACAAGTCGTACCCGTCGAGCGCGGCGCCGTCGCTCGTCGGCGAGGACGCGGCGGTCTTCGACTACGAGGCGCAGACCGAGGGCTGGGGCGACTTCGCCGTGAGCGTCGGGTCGATCCTCGGCGCGTTCGCGGTGCTCTGGGTCTCCCCGGCGACGGGCTACGGCGACGACTTCGTGGCGTTCCTGGAGGCGCGCTGCGGCGACTCGCACGGCGTGACGCTCGCCTTCGGCCTGCTCTTCCCCGTCGTGCACAGCGGCCTCGCGGCGCTGCGGCCCCTCGCGGAGCCCGTCGTCGGCGCGCGGTTCTGGCGGTGGGTCTTCGCGAGCTGCAGCCTGCCGCTCGCGTACTCCTGGATCGTCTACTTCATCGCCCACGCCCACGACGGCGTCGTGCTCTGGGACGGCTCCCGCGACCCCGTCGTCCACGGCCTCGCGTGGTGCGTCAACTTCGCGTCGTTCTTCTTCCTCTACCCGACGGTCTTCAACCTCAAGGAGGTCGCGGCCGTCGAGGCGCCCAAGGTCCACCTCTGGGAGACGGGCATCATCCGCATCACGCGCCACCCGCAGGCCGCGGGCCAGGTCATGTGGTCCGCGGCGCACCTGGCCATGGTCGGCTCCACGTTCAACGCGCTCACCGGGGCAGGACAAGAGAGCGAAATTCCCAACTTCAAAGGCTCCTTTCTCGGCCGTTTTCCACTCGTTTCGGCTGATTTTTGGACGAGCGATCATCTCTCGGAACGGTCTCGAAGCGTGAATGCTTTTCCCGGAACCCGCGCGCGCGGAACACTCACGTTGAAGCGACGTTGAATCTCTCTTGTCCTGCCCAGGCGCTCACGATGGCCCTCCTCGTCGCGCACCACGTCTTCGCCGCGGAGCACGGCGACGCGCGCCTCGCCGCGGCCCACGGCGACCGCTTCGAGGCCATCAAGGCGAAGACGTCCGTCGTGCCCTTCGCGGCCATCCTCGACGGCCGCCAGGAGCCGCCCGCGGACTACTGGAAGGAGTTCGCGCGCGCGCCCTACGCGCTCATCGCCGCCGGCACGCTCGGCGCCTACGCGGCCCACCCCTACATGCAGGCCGGCGCCGCCCTCGTCAAGAACACGGGCCTCGTGCCCGGCGGCATCCTGGACCCCCTCTTCGCGCCGTAAACCTAGGAGAGCGCGCTCGCGGATCCCCGTCGCTGCTGCGCGGCCGCCGGTCGCGAGAAGGCGGAGGCGAACTGGGAGATCGACGGCCGCCGCGTCGTCGCGAAGAAGGAGCCCCGCCGCTTCTTGCCCGCGGCGTCGCCGCCGGTCGGCTCCCAGACCTTCTCGCCGAGGCGGAACCGGGGGACCTTGTCCCGCGCGAGGAGCTTGAGCACCTCGACGCGGAGCGCGTCGAAGACGCCCATGTCGAGCGGGTCGCTGCCGTCGAGGCGCCGGAGCACGGCGCGGAGGCCCTTGGCGGAGACGTTGACGGGCGTGGAGTCCCAGCCGTCGCGGAGGTACTTGTCGCCGATGTAGCGCGCGGACTCGGCGACGCCGTCGTCGTCGACGGTTTCGTCGCAGAAGAGGCGCCGGTAGGCCGTCGTCGCGTCGTAGAAGTCCGCCGACTCCGACGCGTACTCGTCGGCGAGGAACTTGCGGAACGCGGGCCCGCGCGCGCCGTCGTCGAGGATCCGCTTCGCCTCCCGCGCGGGCGCGTCCGCGTCGCCCAGCAGCGCGTCCTCGACGTCCCGGCGCCGCTCGTCGCGCAAAAAGGCCGCCAAGTTCCGCCGGCTCAGCTCCTCGGCGACGTGGTGCATCGCCGCGTCGAAGAGCGACGACGTGAAGTGCTCGCTGGCCACGTCGGCCGCGACGGCCGCGGCGACCCTCCGCGGGAGCGACACGAGGTCGGGCGCGGACTCGTTGAGGAACTGGGCCGCGATCTCGAGCGCCGTGCCCTTGATGGACGCGTCGCCGTCGTAGTCCGGGCGCCAGAGCCGCTTGTATTCGAAGCAGCGGAGCACGAACGCGAGGTTCTCGCCCGCGAAGCTCCGGTTCAAAAAGCTGCCGAACTTGGCGACGTCGAGGCCGTCGTCCTCGATGAGCGCCACGAGCCGCGACGTCCGCGGCGGCGCCTTGGTCGTTCCGGGCGCGGGCGACGCCGGCGCGGGCCGCGTCGGCCGCGGCGGCCTCGACGCGGGCGCCGGCGCGGGCTCCGGCGGCGGGCTCGCGACGGCCTCCGACGCGGCGCTCGGCCCGGCGGCGTCGCCGAGCCAGTCGCGGAGGGCCGCGGCGCGCGCGGCCCGGTAGGCCTCGTGCGACTCCTCGAGGGACGACCGCCGTTCAGGGAGTTCGGGCTCGGGCTCGGGCTCGGGCTCGGCGAGCGCCTCCTCGAGCGCGGTCATGGGCTCGTCGTCGTCGTCGCTCGGCGGCGGCGGCGCCTCGGGCCGCTTCCGCGCCGCCGCCGGCGGCGAGCTGTAGACCTCGAGCTGCTTCTTCGACGCCGACGGCGACTTCGAGAAGCTGCCCAGGCGCTTGATCCCGGCCGACAGCCGCGACGACGTGCGCCGCAGCAGCGTCGGCCGCGGCGACGCCTCGAAGCCGGGCTGCACGGCGTCGAGCTTTGCTTTGCGCGGCGACGACGCGCCGCTGCCCATGGCCGATCGGAGCTGCGCGGAGCACGGCTAGCCGTGGTTGCGGCTGGCAGGCCTTGAAATCACAACGCCACTGACAACCTTTCTGAAGACTGCGCGACGCGAAGTCTTGCCGCACGACGTATCAACCACGGCAAGGCGTCGGTCCGGAACGTCTCGGACGCTGCCCGTGATGGTTGAATCGTTGCATTTCGGCCGACTACAACCTTGCAGATTTATGACAACGATGCCCCGCCTTTTACCCTGCCCACGCCACTGGAAAATCGACGATTTTGGGCACCTCGACCGCGGACCCCCTGCTTGTCTCATCGTGATGGACGTTTATCTGGGGCTCCGGAACCGCAGCCGATCATGCTAGGTCATCGATTGGCAAAAGTTATGGCCGAAAGTGTCGGTTTTTGGAGATTTCCGGCGTTCGCGAGCGCCACGTACGCGTGTCCACCCGACGGCGGCGGGTGCCACGCACGTCCACGCTAGCCCAGGGAGTCCGACCGGGCCCCAGGCGGTCGCGCGGGGCGCCGAAGCGAGTATATACGGCCGTATACGACGCGTTTGTACTGGTTTAGTACGGCTAGGGTGTACTGGCGAGGCACAAACGGCAGGAAAACAGGCGCGCAGAGCACCGTTTCGACGGCCGAGCGTCTTCTGGAGTCGAGACAAGATGTCTCGACGCAACGACAGCGCCAGTCGGCGTTCATGGGCGCGTCGTCGCTGTAGACCGTGTTGGAGTCGTTTTCGAGGCGCTGGCAGTAGGCGCCCAAGCTGTAGCTGTCGAGTACCGCGTTCACCTGACGCGCGGGCCAGCGGAGCCCCGGTGATCGGTCGTGAGAGGGCATCGGAACCGCTCTGGACGTCCAGGGGCGTCGCGGCGCCGCACACTGGCTCGGAAAGACCGCCGCCAATCGATGAGAATCGAGGAACCGAGGCCGTAGGGTGGTCCGACGGTGGAGCTGTCCTGCTTTCGCGAGACACGGCCTTCGTAGCAACACTCTCCGCAACTCCTCCAGCGAAAGCAGGACAGCGAGGTCCGGAACACGTCCAACACGCGCCAGCCGTCTCGAGAAACGCTCCGACGAGGCCGTTGCGTTTTTGACGACGCCCGGACAGGTTCGCGCGTGGCATCTTCGCAGTGGTCTGGCCACGGACGGTCCCGAGGCACATGCGGGAGCGCGCGGCCCCACTCCCCGGGGGCGCCGCGCGCGCGCTGTCGCAGCGGCCGCTCTCCGAGCCGAGGGCCTCACCTCCCAAAGGCAAGGTCGACCGCGTGGGCAGAAGTTGCACGGAGCTGTGTCGGCGACGTCGCGTCGTCACCTGCGAAGCCGCTTGCACACAGTACAGCAGCCTCGTGCTTGCATGCGACGCGCACTCCTCCTCATGTTCGCGCTGGCGGCGCGGTCGGCGTCGGCCTTCGCCGGCCGCCGGGTCCTGGCGCGCGCGTCGCCGCGGCTCTTGGCGACGGCGGCGGCGGCGCCCCAGGTGCCCGTGGGCGAGATCCTGCTGAGCGAGCCCGGCGTCGTCGTCGTCCGCGACACGGCGGGCGTCGGCGGCGCGGAGGTCAAGCCCGGCACGCGGCTCGCGCTCGCGAACGGACGAGAGGGCACGGTGGTACTGACGCGGTCGCCGCTCTGCGTCGTCTGCCTCGACGACGACGCGGACCTCGACGAGGACGCGGCGGCGTTGGCGCTGCGGCGCATGGCCGCGCGGTCCGGCGAGAGCGGCGGCGACGCGGACGCCTTCGTCGCGGGCGTGCTCAAGACTGGCGTCGACGCGCGAAAACTCGCGGGCCGCGTCGTCGACGGCGCCGGCGCGCCCGCGGACGAGTTGGGGGCCGTGGCCCAGCGCGATACGGCCATGCCCGTCTTCGACGAGGGCCTGCAGCAGGCGGAGATGGAGCCCATCGACGAGTTCGCGACCACGGGCGTGCCGGCCGTCGATCTGATGGTGCCCCTGGGCAAGGGCCAGTCCGTCGTCGTCGTCGGCGACCTCGAGTCGCGCGACGCCTGCCGGGACGTGGCGGTTGCCGCCGTCGGCGCGAGCCTGGACAACGGCATGCGCTGCGTCTACGCGGCGTTGGACGGCGGCCGCGACGGCGCCGCGGGCGTCCGCGCGGCCGTGCCCGATGAGGCCGCGGCCGTCGTCGCGAAGCAGCGCGCGTCGGCCTTCGCGAACGAGTGCGAGGCCGTGCTCTGCTGCCACGCGGCCCTCGCCCTCGGCGACCAGCTCCGGCGCGACGGCGACGACGCCTTGGTCGTCCTCGACGGTCTGGAGCCGCTCGTGGACCTGTGGCGCCGGTCGACGCGCGTGCTCTCCGAGGCCTTTGGGGCCGCGAACGCGGACCTGGGCGACGACTCGGAGTGCCGCGCCTTCTTCTCGTCCGCGCTCCAGCGCGTCGGGCGCAAGCAGGGCGGCGGCAGCCTGACCATCGTCGCGTTGATGGGCGACGAGGGCGCGCGCGTCCCCGACGACGAGGCGCCGGACGACGGCCGCGCCTACGCGCTCGACGACTTCGTCGCCGCGGGCGCGCGCGCGTCCATCATGGACCGGCTCAAGGCCCTCGACGCGCGCGGCGTGGAGCTCACGGAGGACGTGCTCGGCAAGATCGGCGTCGCCGCGCCGGACGTCACGCGGCGGCGCCGCGCGGACGCCAAGGGCCAGAAACGCCGGTCCGAGGCCTGCGACATGCTCACGTCCATCGGCGACGCCCACGTCGAGGTCGTCGCCGCGGGGGACGGCGGCTTCGACGTCGACGCGTCCGCGTCGCTCCAGCGCGTCGGCGTCGGCGCGGACGTCGGCACGGACACGCGGCCCGCGGCGCTCCGGCGCCTCGGCGTGGGCAACCGGCTCCGCCTCGAGCTCGCGTCGGCGACGAACGTCGAGGCCGACCCCGAGGACGCGCTCGCGGACGCGTCGTCGAACGCGGCCGACGAGCGCGCGCTCGTCCGCGCGGCCGCGTGGACGGCCGCGCTCCGCCACCCCCGAGACGCGGGCCCCCGCGCGCTCGGCGCCGTCGTCGCCATCGCGATCGCCGTCCAGGCGGGCCACTTCGACGGCGTCGACGTCGAAGACGCCGCGCCCAAGGTCGCCGCGGTCCTCGCCGCCGCGGACGCCGTCGACACGGCCGTCGACGCGTCCCAGGACCTCTCCGACGCGGACCTCGGCGCGCTCAAGGCCGCCATCACCCTCGCCCTCCAGGACGCCTAACGAGGGAAGTCGGCCGTGTATTATCAGTGCACGACGACGCGCGTTTCGAAGGCCGCGGGCGGGTCCGCGAGCGCGGGGAGCGGCGCGCGCCGCGACGACCGCGACGACGCGGACGCGAGGTCGTCCTGGCGGAGGCGGCGCGCGCGGGTGCATGACAAGGGTGATTCAACGTCGCTTCAACGTGAGTGTTCCGCGCGCGCGCGTTCCGGAAAAAGCGTCCACGCTTCGAGACCGTTCCGAGAGATGATCGCTCGTCCA